TATTTTTTACCTAAAAGATACTTTAAGTGACTACGCAAAGGGAGCTTACGAAATTTCAATGAATTTGCTTTTTTTATGTAAATCGCTCTTTACAGAATATGCTTGTTTTTACCAATTTTTTAGTTACCAAACAGTCAAAACCCAAACTCGTCCACTCGAGTAGTTAAGTATCTTTCAAGTTTTTAATTATATTTTGCAGCATCCTGATTTTTGTGCATCAATAGTGAGGGCGTACTTGTACAGAGCTCCATATGTCGTAATTACTCTTGCATTCACTGCCCGAGACTCACTTTTAGTTTCGAACGTATACACTCTCGTTGTGACTCTTTCAAATCATTGCATCTCTACATTTTTTTGTTTATGTTATTCTCTATGTTGCAATTTTCTTCTTTCTCTTTCTTTTCGACATATGATAAATAATTAAATTCTAAATAAGATTATTTCTGTAATGAAAAAAATAAATACCTACTCGTATGACATAATTCGTTGAAGATTATTTTAGTATCGTTCTTATTAATTAAGGTGTCATATATACCAAATACAAAAATGTTTAGCAATTTTTATATGAATAACTATTATCTTAGATCTTCTAATATAAATGATTGTCTTATATAGAATGCGATGCTGTGCTACTTTTATTTATAGGATCGAAGTTACTTCCAGCGCTTTGTAACCTTATGGAACATTACGATATGAAATGTAAATATATACTAATATTATAAAGAGGCAGGGTATGTTTGTACGCTAATCTCAGGAACTACTAATCCGATTTGAAAAATTCTTAGCTTTGCATTAGATATTTCGTTTATTGAGGAAGGCTATAAGGTTATATATAATCATACTACCCAATGTAGCCGAGTAGTAATATAATATTATAGTCTACCTATTCCATACTAATCCTTCAAACGTATCTAGTGACGAATCCGAGTGAAGCGAGAGTGAGTCGCTAGTATATTATTATAAATAGGCAAACCAAAACCGTTCAGTACCTTTTTCTCCACCGCTTGTCATTCACAAATTTACATTTTTTTTGTTTAGTAGCTACGAGCTGTAGTGTATGGTCGTAATAAGTAATAGTACGTGTTCCAATGCGCATAATGTATAAGTATTTTGCGGGCCATTCATTGTTATAGGTTGCATCACTTACGGCATTTGATACGCGCCGTGCAGACTACTTACATGCTACTTAGTGCTAAGCGGATATAATAAGCAGAAGTTCATGTTTTATTATAATATAATTTGACTAACTGTAACAAACTATTGTTTTTATTAAGAAATGATTGGGAGATGATTCACTCTAAAACGGCTGGACAGATTTGGAGAAAATTTAGTGTACATAATAGACTATGAAACGGAGTAACACATAGGCTACTGTGAATAAATAAGAAAATTGGAAATAAGGAGAAATATTGAAAAAATGCTCTAATGCTAATGTGATTTTCAATTAAGTATTGAACAAGTATTGTAGTAAAGAATAAAGTAAAGTTTTTTTTCTTTGTAGTTTATCAATGAGTCTGTATAATATATATATATATATATATATATATATATATATATATTGTTTTAATCCCGACCGCGGACACGCCGGCGTTACAGTTAACAATAGATTTATTAGAAATTTAATTAATTTCTTAGAAATTTACCTGGAGGTGTTAAGATACTTTTGGTTTATTTTGGATCAGTTTAAATAATTAAATATATGGTAGATACTAAAAAATACTTTCTTTTACCTTTTGACTATCTTTTTTTTTCTCTTCGTTTCAATAAAATAAATAATTTTAAAAGATTCTTAAAGGATACATAGATAAATGTATTTTTTATATATAAAATTGATATAAAATAGGAATATTGTTTTTTGTCTATTTCAGTTGTTCTTTACAGACTATGCTTATTTTTACCAATTTTTTTAGTTACCAAACAGTCAAAAACCAAACTCGTCTACTCGAGTAGTTAAGTATCTTTCAAGTTTTTAATTATATTTTGCAGCATCCTGATTTTTGTGCATCAATAGTGTTAATTCTCACAATATTTTACGATGTGAATGCGCTGTGAAATTTTTCCACCTGTTTCCAATTTCCATTTGTATCGTAGGTATTGTCTATATTTTATTAATATTTTTTTCGTCGCCACCGTTTTCAAGTGTGTCGAAGTTATAGTATGTTCCCACGGCCGGCGCACTGCGATTTTATATTCATTGTGAACATGCCTCTATTGTTTTCATCTGCAAGTGCATTTGTGCGGTTATTATTCTTAGAGTTCTGTATAAATGATGTATATAAAAAAGTCAAAACCTTTTTATCTCTTGTCTGTTTGTCTGTTTCCTTGTCTTCATAGTAATAATGTAATCTAATATATAAATATCTTGTGTCACGGTGTTTGTGGTCGCACTGCTCTGAAACGGCTCGACCAATTTTAATGTTTTTTTTTGTATATTTGGTAGATATGAGAATCCTACCAAATATACAAAAAAGAGGTCGTAAAGTATTTTTCACACTGCTACCCCCCCACCATTTTTAATCGCGATTTTAGTGAGATTGTAAGATTTTAGGGACGAACCCGAGCGAAGCGAGGTTGAGTCGCTATATAGTATAAAGTAAAAGAGTTTTTTGTAGTTTGAACGCGGGCAAAGTCGCGGGTTCTGCTAGTAGTGTATTTTAAGTCAATACATCTTTAAGTTTCATGCATGAACGAATTGTTAATTCGTTCATGGTTTCATGTTATAAAAAAATCAAAGACTGACAGTTTAATCGTTCTTTAATGCTTTTTTTAAATATGAAATGGTCTAATCATGATAAAGAATCTTAAATGTATATATAACTTATTACAGCCAGTTAATGCGTGAATAATTCAAATATAATTTTTCTTATCCCACAAGCATTATCTATAGCTAAGCTGGTTTAACGCGTTTAATATCCCGTTAGATCTGATGGGCGTTCTGCGAATTTGATTTATTTATCGTATAATTCGTAGCCTTAGGGGATTCTAATAAAAAATCTTTTACCATCTTTTTTCTACAGAAATATCCACTTTATATTTTTTTATTATATAATATAGTGTAATATTTTTAATTGCAACAAATTTTGGGTTTATATCCATTTTGGGTTTATATAATTATGGAAGTACTCCATTATATATATATAATATTATAAATGTGAAAGTGTGTTTGTTTGCTTGTTTGTTTGTTTGTTTGTTTGTCCTTCCTTCACGTCAAAACAGAGGTACGAATTGGTGTGATTTTTTTGTGTGAAGATAGTTGGAAGACCGGAGAATGGCATAGGCTACTTTTCAACCGACTTCAAAAAGGAGGTTCTCAATTCGACTGTATGTTTTTTTTTTTTTTTTTTTTTTTTTTTATGTTTGTTACCTCAGAACTCCGTCATTTCTAAACCGATTTGGACAATTTTTGTGTCGTTTGAAAGGGTATACTTCCAGATTGGTCCCATTTAAATTTCAAAAAAAAATACCACCCCTAAGGGTGGAAAAACTACTAATGATGAATTTAACCTACTTCTAATTGTCATATTGACTTGAAACTTTGCAAGTATTTCTATTTCCGTTGATAGTACAGTGGTTCGGTGTTGTTGACCTGATCTGATGGCAAGGCCAGAAGGTGGATAGGTGGAACTCTTCAACGGCTAATAGTAGATACTTTGAGTTTGGGCTTATTTTGTTTGATTTGACAAGCCTAACACGTTAGAATCCTTACTTTTCTACTACTGTCTACACTAAAAAGGGAAAAATAAAAACTTTTTAACAAAAAAATAAAAACCGACTTCAAACAAATGCACTAAAAAGTAAAAAATGGTAGTTTTCATTTACTATACATACCTAATCAAATATTTTCGAAGTCGGTGTGCTTTGGCTAAGTAATTAGAGCCTACCTATTAAATACATACCTAATCAAATATTTTCGAAATCGGTGCCAGCCCATACAAAGCAAAGCACACCGACTTCGAAAATATTTGATTAGGTATGTATAGTAAATGAAAACTACCAATCAGTTATTTTTTACTTTTTAGTGCATTTGTTTGAAGTCGGTTTTTATTTTTTTGTTAAAAAGTTTTTATTACCGCGGGAGATTTTCTTATTCCCACGGGAAAATACGTTATAATACGACACAATAAAATATTTATGATCAGAATTACTTTAAAGTTGGTAACAAATAAATACGTACGTTTTAGCTTTTCTCGAAATTCATCCCAAAGAGGTTATAACGGATGAAAATTTGTATGAAACTTACCTTTTCAGAGTTTTTTTTGTAGTTTTAGCGCAACCGAAGCCGCGGGTTCTGCTAGTTATTGCATAATCTTTAAAATAAAAGTGCGATTACCAAAGATCTCTTTTATTTTATCACGTTTATTCTTATCCGATGAAGTAAAATTAAGTTAGGACTGAGGTCTGTCAATTATGCTGACACGTGATAAGGGATACGGCAAAATAATCGTATTAAGTGGTTTCTAATTGACCAAAATGCTTTTTGGTTCTGTCGACTTCAAGTAATGTGTTGATAATCAACTACGCTTGGCAGGTTTCACTTTTTTCTACTATAGAATTAAATTGAGTACCTTAAGCCCAAAAATGAGCAGAATTTGGTTGTAATTATTCGAATAATAACATCTATAGATCTGTCGAATTCTATCTGTCGGGGACGGCCCAGTACATCTTCTGTACTGCTGATAGGATTTGGTTAAAGTTTTACGACCGGCCGCCTCACTTGAAACCCTCCTTGGGACTGCTATCGTTTATCGCCAACGTCTTGTAATGTGCACATTCGATATCGTTTTCTTTTAAAACACGTTTTATAATATGACTCCAAAGTTTTAATGTAATTTTTGATATATTTTGAAATAAAATTTGAACACACAATAAATTTTGTTTTGACGTTGTGAATTTTTTTCTAAAGATCTATAGATCTGTCGAATATTCGTCCTATATCAAACGTGTCCAGTTTGTCTAATTCTTTTTTTTCTGTTGTCAGGTGTTGAGAGAAGCGCGGCAAAATGCCGGAGGGCGTGGCCAAGGATGGCAAAGATGCCAAGGCGAAAGCGAAGGAATCGCCGAAACGACGTACCAACGTCGCCAAGGTGAAAGTGGAACTGCTTGATGGGTCGACCATGGAATTAGAATCTGATGTAAGTGCATTGATTTTTGCTTATAATATGTAAAAAGTAATTATGTTAGAGTCTGTGCGGAAAGAGAACCGTCATAAGCTTTGTTTAATTACTGTATTTGTTATGTTGGCAACACTATAGCGCGACTGTAACATCTTGATACTTTAAAACTATGTTAGAATATAATGTTTTCAGATTCCGTCTTAAAATTGTTTTAAGGAATGATTTTACCTACCTGCTATCAAAAATAATGATTGGAACAAAATAAACAAATATTATCATATTTCTAAATGAATTCCTTTTAATTTATACATATTTTGAGATCTCAGGGATCGCAGGTTACTTAGGAAATCTATAAACATTCAACTGTTACATACCGGACATATCTGCCACACGTTCCGTGACTTTATTTAGGTATATAATGGTGAGTTTTGCTCCATAGCAGAGTTGTATAATAATAATATTATTTCCCTTGTCGAACTGTGTAAAGTTTTACCCATTTTGACATGATTAAAAATAAAAATCACAATAAAACAACACAATAAACACGAAATAAAGTTTGACATTTGACAGATGGCTAGATTGGGTAGCCATATAAAAATCATAATGTTAGTTTCTTTTTCTGCCACAACGGTTCTCTTTCCGCACAGACTCTATAAGAAATATAATATTATTATTGGTATTTTAGTTTGTAGTCAAATGTATATATATGTAATACTTTGAGCATTCCGCCATCTACGTCCACTTGAATAATTCACTTTGTATAAGTAACATATTCTCGATGCTTTCACATATATAATAGCCTGGTTAAAAAACCAAAAATAATACACGTTACCAATATATAATTGTTTTCTTTATATGTAAAAAAAAATTTAGGTCGTTCAGCTCAACGGAATTACCCATCGATAATCTAATCAGAAGTTAAAACATCAATATTCTAAATTCTAAAATAATAAAAAAAAATCTAGTCCTCGCTCCTTTACTTGATAGTAGATAGATAATGCAAAGCTTATGAAGTAAAGGAGGGAGCACTACAACTTTTACATAATTTTAAAACTAGCAGTTTAGGCTGTGTTTTTTTGTCAGTCAGTGAGTTTTGAGTTTCGTTAGGATTACATTAAAATTTATATTATTTAGTCTATAACCATACCATAAAGAAGGTATTAGTGAAGAAACAAAGGAAAATGTGCAAGAAAATATATTAATAAGGTTTACATACATTTTCATCATTTATATTACAGAGAAAAATTCGTGGTCACGAGCTACTAAACAAAGTGTGCGACAGCCTCAACTTGGTGGAGAAGGACTACTTTGGACTGCTGTACGAGGACCGGGGAGACCCCCGGGTATGGATCGATCTGGACAAGCGGGTTTCGAAGATGTTAAAACGTATGTATTATTTAAATGTATGATGTTTATTCTAGTGGCCATGATGCTGATCAGTAATTCATTGACTTTGAAGTTTTTTCGTAAACACCTATTCAAAATTTACAAAAATAAAGAATGTAAGTTAGCTTCGGCTAGTACGAATTCGAACTAATATTACAAACGCGAAAGTTTGTTTGTTTTTTGCATAACTACTGAACAGGTTTTGATGCAACTTTACAGTAATATAGCTTATACATCAGAGTAATTTATAAAGAGATACGGTCGGAGCCGTTAGAAAACGCTATCAATTAATATAATTAAGATACTCGTTCATATGTTTTTTGAAATTCATCGTAACAATATTATTCTATGAAAATGTCGTCCGACTGTCTATTACGGTTAAAGAGATACGGCCTTTAGCGCGACATACGGATGTACAGCGTTTAACAGCGTTTAATTAGTAATACAACTCCAGACCCCTTGACCCTAAGACCCTTATGTACTGAACCCTAAAAATTGACATGTGCCCTAAAAATTTAATATAATATGAATGGTTTGTACATTTGAACAGACGAGCCGTGGGAGGTGCGGTTCGCAGTAAAGTTTTACCCGCCAGAGCCTGCGCAGCTGCAAGAGGAACTGACTCGGTACCAATTGGTGCTTGCAATTAGGAAAGATTTGCTTGACGGTAAGGAGGTTTATGTTAGATATATACTTAATACTTTTTTTTTAAATGACTTCCAAAAAGGAGGAGGTTCTCAATTCGTCGGAATCTTTTTTTTATGTATATTCACCGATTACTCGAAGACGCCTAAACCGATTCGGAAATATTTTTTTGTTTCAAAGGATATACTTCCCAGGTGGTCCCATATAAATTTTATCGAAATCGGTTAAGCGGTTTTTTTAAATCAACAAATAGATTATTTTTTTAAATAAATTGCTTAATCGAACATATTATTAAAAAACTTTCTTCTAACAAATTATCTGCTTATTACTATCTACACTAATAATGGACAAATAAAAACTTAAAAAAAAAACCGACTTCCAGGCACAAAAATGTAAAAAATAACTAAACGGGGGTTTTCATTTAGAATAGGTACCTAATGAGATATTTTCGAAGTCGGTGTCAGCCGATGCAAAGAAAATATAATATATTTCGATTTAGTTATTTTTTCATTTTAGTGCCTGGAAGTAGTTTTTTTTAAGTTTTTTTTCTTTATAAATAGGGCAACTGCAGTGTTGCTTAAATATTTTGAAAGTTTTAATTTATAAATATAATAACAACCCTTTAAATAAATATTATTTAATATTCAATTATGTGATTAATTATAATTTATAATGTATAAAATTAACAAATTAACATACTTTGGTATGTAGTAGGTACGGTCTATTTCTTCCAAATCTATACATATAATAAAATTATGACCAAGCCGAACATTAAATATTTTTTGGAAAATCTTATTGAAATAGACATTATTATCGATACAGAGGCCGAATCTATAGTTTTTAGAATTTTTGTCTGTCTGTCTGTTACCGCATCACGGAAAAACCACTGGAGGGATTTTGCTGAAATTTGGTATGACGATAGCTGGTTATCCGGGTCAACATATAGGATACTTTTTACCGCGAAAAAATATCTCATTTCTGCGAAAAAATACAAAAACTGCAATGTAAGAGTATAAATAATATGTAAAACCTAAGAATTTGGTTTTAGGTCATCTGAACGCGGGCGGAGCCGCGGGCCGTGCTAGTTATTATATATTTTTGTGGGGCGTAACACTATTATCCTGACCTAGTTTTTAACTCTTCATCATTTTCGATCATAGGTTAATAAATCGATTGACCTGCGGGTTGGTAAACTTCACATGTCTTTCGAAAACTTGGTAGGTTCTCTCAGATATGCAGGTTTCCTGACGATGTTTTCACTTCACCGTAAGACATTTGTAATCATGTTGGAAGTGATTCGCCATGCAAATATCAGACGTGCTAGGCCCGTTATTTGAACACGTTTAACTCGGTTTCCCAAGCAAGCGCGTTACCACTGGGCTACCACTGCCTTGTGATTATATATTAATGTAAATGTTCCGTATATACTGTTGTATACTGTGGGTATTTCTATTAAATAAATAAATATTTTTGTGAATTTCCTCCAGGTCGTCTCCCCTGCTCAGCAGTGACGCACGCCCTACTGGCCAGCTACCTCCTGCAGTCTGAACTCGGTGACTATGAAGACACGGAGATGGGGGCTGGTCTCTGCAAGCAGCTCAAGCTGGTGCCGCCCTCCGCTTGCACTCCTGATCTCGAGGAGAAGGTTCTGGAACTTCACAAGACCCATAGGTACTTTTGCGCTTTTTGGTCTTCTCTCTAAGATTTTCATTTTAGTGGTGATTTTTCGTCAAGCATTTTTCAGAGTTGAGACAGTTATTATGCTATTTATGTAATTCACTAAAAATATTATTACTTATTAAATATATATTAAACTTGTATACATTTTGAATTTATTTTAGGCATTACACATCTCTCTATTAAAATTAAAATGTGTTAAGTCAATTTTATTAATGAAAGGTATGATGATAAAATTTGGTAGGTATTACCAAGTAAAAAAAAATCTAGTCTAAACGTGAAATAATTACGTTCCAAAACGTACTTGTAGACCATAATCAAAAGAAAAATTCAACAAGATTAGAATTTCGTATAATCTATAGATGTTAATAACAAGTATGTAATGTTCCAGAGGGCAGACCCCGGCGGAGGCGGAGCTGAACTACCTGGAGAACGCCAAGAAGCTGGCCATGTACGGTGTGGACCTGCACCCCGCCAAGGACTCGGAGAACGTCGACATCACGCTCGGCGTCTGCTCCTCCGGTCTACTCGTGCACAGGGAGAAGTTAGTCTACTCGCATATATACCATACGACGACCATTTGACGACACGTTTGGCTAAGTTTGTAGTGACCCTACTTGCTGTGCCAGCGGTCGCGGGTTCGAGTCCCGCTGGGGGCACTTATTTGTGTGATGGCCACGGATGTTTGTACTCCAGTCATGGGCGTTTATATTTATAATATGTATGTATTTAAAGTTATATATGTGTAGTGTATCAACTATCCATAACACAGGCCTCGTAGCTTATCATGGACCTCGATGGGACTGTGTGTTAATGTACCAACATATTTATTTTATTTATATATTATATATTACTACTTGTGAAAACTGAAGTCGTATATACATATATATTCATTGCATTTTTTCTTACATAAAATTTGAAATTTATAAAAAAACTATCTTTTCTCGAATTTAATTTGATTTTTGGCTCCCAAAGTTTTGTATGCTTTAGAACAATCGAGCTCACGCTAGATATTAAGGTTTTTCACATCGGAAAAGATAATTTTATTTCTTACATTAGTAAGACTGTCTGTTTTACTAAAAAATAGATAAAAACTAAAAAAAATCCTCTCGTAGACTCCGTATAAACCGTTTCGCGTGGCCCAAGATCCTCAAGATCAGCTACAAGCGGCACAACTTCTACGTGAAGCTCCGCCCCGGCGAGTTCGAGCAGTTCGAGTCCACCGTGGGCTTCAAGCTCGCCAACCACCGCGCCGCCAAGAAGCTGTGGAAGACTTGCGTCGAGCATCACACATTCTTCAGGTACGCTCATGGGGGATGCAATCAACCCCCTTTTTTTCAATGTCCCACTGCTGGGGTTAGGCCTTCAATGCGAGGGGGTCACTAGGCCATAGTCCACCACGCTGGTTAAGTGCAGATAAGAGATTAAGGGATATGAATGATAAATTATAATTAAAGTATAAATAATAAATATGCTATAGAGACAGTATAACAGTAGCCAGTTACATCAGTCAACCCTAAAGTCTTTTCCCGGCTGTCATACAAAAGATAGTATGGCAGTCGGGAGCACACCACCCGCGTCTCCCTCCGCACGTCCCTCACTATTGTTTAATTTGAATTATCTATTAACTTATTTTTTGTTATTAATATTGTACTTTGTAATTAAATTATTTTAAAATTCATTAATGTTATTGACGTGATATTGCTTGTTGTGATAACCTGTAATTAAAAAACATTTATCTAATTGTGAGCAATATGATTATCATACTGTATTAATGTATATTTTGTTGGTTATACCTTAATAAGTGAATAAATTGGCCTGTCTTGACAGCTTTGTTAGACGATAGGTTAGTAGGGTATACACATTGGTTAAGACTGAAATTTTGCAATTATTGATTTGAACAAAAAAGTTACAGAACCATCTGTCTGAATTTAATTTTGGATGGGTTTAATTTTTTATTTTCTGTAATTTTTTACAAAATTATAGTTGACATGAGGTATATCTACTATATATACATATGTATATACATATATGTAGTCTAGTGGTAAAGCGCTTTGTTTTTCTCGTATTTTCATGTGTGAATGTGAATTTATGGTGAAGGAAAACATCGTGAGGGAACTGTGTGTTTCAGAGAGCCTAGTAAGTTTAATGTCATGTGTAGTCCGCCAACCCGCACTTGGTTAGCGTGGGGGACTACGGTTTGGCTCCCTCGATCGAAGGACGTCAAAGAGAGCTGAATGTATATGTGTGTGTGGTGCGTGCAGGCTGATGTCGCCGGAGCCGGCGCCGCGCGGCGCGCTGTTCCCGCGGCTGGGCTCGCGCTTCCACTACAGCGGGCGCACGCACTACGAGTCGCGCGCCGCGCCGCCCACGCGCGCGCCGCCGCGCGTCGCGCGCACGCTCTCCGCGCGCCGCCTCTCCTCGCGCAGCGCCGACGGTACGTCTCACTAGATCATATATTTTTTATATTTGCATACGGGTGACGCCATTTTTCGACTGACAAGTGACGAGTTCATTTTTTACATTTAGTTTTATCACACAGATGGCGCTGTTTGCAATATTCGATTAAAATGTGTAGTTTGGCTACGTGGGTTTTAACAGAACGACGCATATCGTATCTTTATACTTAAAAAAAGGCAGTAAGTAATATAATCGGTTCATTAAAAATCGAATATTTTTTCCCTTCACTGACATGACTCGCCACCGTCGACCGAACACGTACTAGATACACGATCACCGACAAGATATTAGTATGTTTTCACCGAATGTGCGCTCGTTTGAACGTTTAAGCGCGATTTTAATTTTTTTGTGAAAACAACTTTAAGCGTTACATTTAAGGCTCAATTTACATTGTTGAGTATTTATTTCAACTAGAATAATTACCTAAACACAATTGGTGACGGTTTTAAGAGAACTTATGTATGGAATTGTGTATCTAGTATTTTTTGATCAATGCTCGCCACACAACCTATACACACACACACACGCACGCGCGAAGTTTATATGCTCACATATACATCAAGTATATGTACCTACTGTGAAACAACACCACACAAGTCACGTATATTCACAGACACATGCGCACACTGTACAGCCGCTGTATCCGCTGTACAGTGAACATAACACTTTTTTACCGTTGAGAAAGCAAATAAAATCCAGTACTACCAACCCAAACCTAACAGGCTCTATTCTGTATTAATTGTTCTCTATTCTAAACATAACGTGTTTTATCCTTGCTCAAAACATAAGAAGACAAAACATACATATAAACAATATTCATACAAATCCATCCAATTCTAGCTTCCATTTATGGTACTAACCACACTATATTTGCACACAAATTGTGTTTTTTTTTTAATTATATGATACCGTTTTAACCAATTCTTTAACATGAATACACGTGTAAGTACTAAATAAAATACATATCACATTTTTTTTGTACAACCATTAACTTGGCTATACATTATTTTCGCTTTTAAAAAACTGTTTAAACAGTGCACGCAAAAACACAATTTTTTATTCCTAACAGTAAAAAATTGTGACAGATTACCTAAAGCACACAATCTATTAGTAAGATTATAAATGTGAAAGTTTACAAGTTTGGGAATAGCACGTAGGCTATTTTTTATCCCGGAAAATGTGCAGTTCCCATGAGATAGATCTGTTTTTATTTTTGTAGAGGCGAACCCGAGCGTATCGTAATACTAAAAACATAATTTAAAGCCTACTAACGACTTGCCCTCGCTCCCCTTGCGTTACCCCTAGATCCCTAACAGTAGCTCATGTGTTAGTCCAGGTCATAGCCTATCTGATTACTAAATTTCATCAAAATCCGTCCAGATGTTTGAACGTGAAAGAGTAACAAAATAACAGTCCGATTTTTGTTAAGAAACCAAACATTAGTCATTCTTCTGGGGAGCAAATTAGCGTGGTCGATTGTTTATTAGTGTTTACTCTCAGATAGCTAAGTTTTGTTTAAAATTCATTACATTTTACATGTCATAAACATTGTAATTATATTTTTTTTGGGTTGTTTATATTACTCTTTACTAGATAGTAGATAGGGGCTTTAGAAAAAATTTATGTGGTTACATGAACGATTATAAACCGTACCAAACTATCCTGGGTTCGAGTCCCAGGTCGGGTCCAAGTAGTATTATTGTTTTTTTTTGTCTGATACATAAATAGTGTGTTATTTCGTGACATTGAAAGAATTAGATAAAAATTTGAGTAATTAATATATTAAATTTGAGTAATTAATTTATTAATTACTCAAATTACATATCCTAGATTAGCAATATCTAGTATTTTAAATCAATCTTTTCAGATTTTTTGCGGATTTATTTTGATTCCCGTTGTTTCGAATGTTTTACAGCAATCAGCCTCTCCCGTGACCACGATTGTGAAAATGTGAAATAATCGCGTAAATCTAAGGAAATAATAAATAACTAATCTTACTCCTTACTTAATATTATAAATGTGAAAGTTAAGCTTAAGTTTTAGCTGTTTGGATGTTTGTTACTCAGTCACGCTAGAACGGCTGAACGGATATTGATGTTATCTGGCACAGAGATAGATTATAGTCTGGAATAGCACTTAGGCTACTCTTTATTCCGGAAAAAATATACGGTTCCCGTTAGATAGATTTGTTTTTGATTCTCTAGAGGCGAATCCGAGCGAAGCGAGGGCTAATCGCTAGTATCTTATAGGTATATTATAAAAGTTTACATACACAAAAATACAATATAGCAGGTATTGTTATTATTGGCGATGATGGCTTCGATTGCGGGTGACCTTGTTCCCTATGACTTGTAGCGTAATGTCTAGTCTATAAGACTCATTGACTCACGCAATGTTGTCACACGGCCGGTGCATTCGGATGGTGCCATTCATCTATAATTAGATGTGATGTTTGTGCGAAAAAACTCTTATTGATTTTGGCGTTGTGATTTGTGACTCTTGTACCTATGCTCTTTTGGAAATATAGGTTCATAATATTTTTGTTATTATTTTTTTCGTGGAATTATTTAATATCGTAATGCAATTCAAAGGTGATTTTTTTTTTATTTTTTTTTCGATTAAGAAAATAATTATAAAAAAGTTAAAATATAGGTGGGAAATTCAAAGTAGTTGAAACGCACGCCATTGGTCAGACCGAATGTGACGTCATAGTATATCATAACAGAGCGCTTAGCGATTTTGTAAATTGTAGTGTTTTGGAGCTGGATATTTTTTTACAATTATATAACGATTTAGCTATTGTATAAGGAATAAAGAATATAATCGCACATATTTCCTATTCTCTTGTCAATGGCTTCAAAGCGTGCCAATTGAGCGTAGATTAATTCGCTAATGTCACTTAGTATGGAGAAGACAAGAGGGAGAGATTACCGTACTTAACATATGTGTTAGACATAATTTATTATCTGTATTTTGCCACTAGAGTTTGCACTCGGCTCTGCCCGTGTGTATTTGTAATCTTAGTCAATTCTCACACCCTATAAAGAGTCTCAATATGATTTTTCAAGTTTCTTACTTTTAAAGTGACCAAATCTCCAAACATGGTCGCCTAATTTCCATACTCAGAAAACGCAATTCTTAAAACTTTGAAGTACAATATTCGTCATTCTCAATCGGAAGAATTATTTTCACATTTTGCTTAATGTTACTTTAAAAATAACGGATTTTCATGCAAACTTTCACTGCCTTCTATTCCACCCTCTAGGGGTTGAATTTTCAAAAATCTTAATCCTATGAAGGATCTATTTGACAAATTTCAAGTTTGAAGCGTAGTGACTAGTGAGAGAGTGGTATTTCGCTTTTATGTATTGGAATATTTCTTAATGGGGGAAAAATTAAACTATATTTTAATGTTTTACTTTGTTTTTATTTGCGAAATAATCAATAACAGTATTTATCATCTGTGGAAGGCATGATTTTTAAGCTTATTATCATTAATATTATTTGTCTCCTATTAAAAAAAAAGGTTAAGTAAAAACATCCTAAATTTGAATACTTTTCAAATTAATTTTTTCATTTACTTAATATATTTTAATGAAACTTAGTCATACAATATATAATTTTATGGACTTTCTAAAAAATAATTTTCACCACATCTACTGCATAAAGCCCTCACCAAAATTAAGTAGTTGTTATTAATACTCTATTTACTTGCGTCACGGCCCGACCGCGTTCAGTCAACGGACGACTCTCACAGCTTGCGGTATACTCTAACCGATTTTAAATAAAAGATAGTGCAATTTAACCGACTTGCCCGAAAGTGTATGTGGTTGAAACAAATTGGAAGATATAGTGTTAATGAAATGGTGTTTAATGACTGTTGGAGCCCGTCTTGTACGTCGAGTGAGTGTTTGATTTGAGTGATTGTTTTTTTAATGTTTTTATTTTAAATTGATATATTTGAAGTAAGCATAATTTAAGCAAGGATGAATCGGCTTAGCTTTTTTATTATTATTTATAATGGTATGAATAAGGTTGTTACGGTTTTTTTTCGAAAAGGTTGTCCAGAAATTTGGAAAATTCGGAAGACGTTGAAAGTGTTTTTGTTTTTCAATTTTTGTATGACCTCTTAGACCATAAATTAAATTGGAATTTGGAACAAGACGGCGTCTTTAGGGTCAACTAGTTGATATAATAAATCATATCTCTGTGTTTATGCGTTCATAACTCAATAACAATAACTAATTTAGATGATTTTAGAATAGTATTTGTATCAAAAGTTTGTACTTTGTAGCTTTAGAGGGCTAAAAAGGCTTTAGAAGGTTTAGTTCACATGACAATAGATATTCTAAGTTAACAATTGTAATTTATATTGAAAGATAAATCGCGATGCAAGTCTAATTACACTCGGGGTGTTAAAGGCACAGTGGAGTAGAGGCATGTCACTACTTAAAATATAAATCTGTGTAGGTAATATTTTCTAATGCAGCGTGTTAATTGTTTTCGAAAACTACTATAAGTTTATTATAAACTAGGTTGCTTCCCCATACAAACTCTCATCCCCATTTTCAACCCCATAAGAAAAGAAAAACTATCCTATGTTCTTCCCAGGGTCTCAAACAATCTTTTTAGCAAATTTCATCTAAATTGGTAGAGTACTTTCGGAGCCTATACGATGCAAACAGACAAACAAACAAAAAAATAAATCTTTCCTCTTTATAGTATTAGTATAGAAGTGTAGATGTATATTTTTACGTGCTGTCAAATATTGTAAAAATATACATTTAAACTGTTTTTAATAACTAATATGCCTTTTCTAATAAAGGATTTTCATGGTGTTTTCTCAAAGTAACGCGGAATTTTTCGTGAAATATGTATATGTGAGTCAGTTTGTTATGATGTTTACTATTATAATTATATACTGCTACGTTCTAAGCTTAGGTTTTCCATTTGTTACTATCGAGCCTAGTGTGTCTTTTTGTATACCTACTGGGAAGGTTATAAGTTCGATACCCGGGAAAGCAAATATTTATTAGAATTGACTATAGGTATAGACTTTCAGTTTTTTAATTGTTTAGGATAAAGAGCGTTTAATACTAACAAAAGACGTACTCAACTACTCATGCTGCGTATGCGCAATATAAGGAAAGAAAAAATAGTTTTAATCAATAAATGTGGTCGCCTGTATTTACTTAGGATGTTTGAATTAAATGTGAATGTTTAAAATAAAATGTAATATCAACATCAAAATTATCTTGAAAGTATTTAACCACACGTTCGGCTCAGTTTAATAGTGGCCCTACTTGGTGTGTCAGCAGTCACGGGTTCGACTAGCGCTGAGGGCATTCATTTGCGTGATGAGCACGAATGGGTGTACTCCAGTCATGGGTGTATCAACTATGTGATGCTGTGTGTTAATGTCAAAACATATTTATTTATTATTTTTGTTTTTACATATAAGTATTACGGAGTCATCTGTGTTTACCGTTCAGTACCAAAGCACAAAAAGTTTCTATATAATGTTAGTGTAAGATAGTTAGCAGCAGCAGGACGCGTTCTAGAGCTCAGCATGTGTTGCTATATACCATAATATAGGAAAATTCTAATATGTACTTTGAAAAATAACTACCAAATTCACTAATTAAAAAATAACGTATATATGTATGTACATATGTACATACTAGTAAAACCCGCGGTTTCTCTGGCGCTAAAACTATAAAAAAAATATCTAAAAAAGGTAGTTTCATACAAACTTTCATCCCCTATTTCTGCCCCTTATAGGATGAATTTCGAAAAATGCTAAAACGTGTTTATTTAATTGTATTGAAGAGCATTAATACCGAGTTTCAAGTAATTATGATCATAATTTTTTTTGGATTGTATTATAACATGTTTTCCCGTGGGAATTAGATTATTTCCCGTGGTAAAATAAATAACCTATTTCACTCTTCAGCCCTCCAACTATGTAAACACAAAAAATAACGCCAATCCGTCACTCCGTTTCGACGTGAAAGAAAGACAAACAAACAAACACACTTTCATATTTATAATATTAGTATGGATGTACGTAGTTTGAAGTTAATGGATTAGTATGAAACGGACTACTATAAATGCAAAAGTTTGTATGTATGTATGAATATTTGTTTCTCCTTCATGTTGAAACCAGTCGGAGTTGGGTGGAATTTAGTACACAGACTATGACCTACAGTAACACAAGATTTGGGGCGCATCTGAGTTAAGGGTATGGCGTTAGTTGCTAAATACAAACATTAGATACGATGACGCTATTATTGATACATACGAGTATATGAAAATTGTGCAGTGGTAGCCCAGTGGTAACGCGCTCGCTCAGGAAACCGAGTGAAGCGCGTTCAAATCCCGGGTCTCGCATATCAAATATTTTCAAGTGCGAATCATTTGTAACATGATTACCCTGGAAGGAATTAGATGGAGGAAACCTGCATGTCTGAGATAACCTAGCAAGTTTTCAAAAGACATGTGAAGTCCGCCAGCCCGCACTTGGCCAGCGTGGTGGACTATGTCCTGATTCCCCTCGTATTAAAGGGAGGCCCGTGCCCAGCAGTGGGACGTTAAAAAGGTCTGAATACATAATAAAATTTAATAACACACCTTTAACACCTCCAGGTAAATCTCTAAGAAATTAATTAAAATTCTAAGAAATCTATTTTAACTGACACGCCAGCGTGTCCGCGGTCGTTGAGGGATTAAAAGTTGATAGTACCTACTTCTTGTGCTATACGGTGCACAATCTTTCATACAAATTGTTGTTGTCGATGACGATACGAATAACTTTTTCGCAAGTTTTTGCGCTCGTCCTATGATTTCATCCTTCATTTTATTTTAAGAACGGATTTAGTGTAGTGGATGCTGTGTAGTGAGACGACGTGTTTTTTGGACGTATTTATGTTGTTTTTGGGGATACATAAAGGTAATGTTGGTGTATATTTACTTCTAACTCAGAATTTAGCCTGTTCTTTGAAAATAAGTCGAATTTCAGTGATTTACAATAAGATTTAATTTTATTAATAGTATATTTAAAGATTTTTTTAGACAAATTTTGTTGAATTTATATTGAGTTTAATGACTTGATCCATGCCCTTAATGTACGCATTTAAAAAGTACTTTAAGAATAATTAGGTAATGACGTCACGTCGTTATGCTTGCGATTAAAAGATATTATCGATTTCTTTGTTTAATAATCTTGTAATTTCAAAGAGAAAACATCCATAATCTCTTGGCATCCTTATTTCCATATCCGTTATTTATTTTTATATCTCTATCTACTTGTGCGTCTGATTGAATATCTCTACATTAGTCGAAGCGTTGAAGTTGCCAATAACATGTAGTGTTTATTTCAGTGAAACTAATAAAATGTAATGTATATACATACATATAATATACATATATAAAGAGTTACGAGTATTGTATGTACTGACAGTATTTTGTTGACTTGGCAGTCTAGTTGTTGGTTGTAAAGCAAGAGCTGCGGTGTCTGGTGCGATTAATCTTTATTTATGTTACTAGCAACTCGCCCTTGTTTTGCTTAGGTCCTAACTATACGTTATCATGTGTGTTATAGTGTTTTATTACATTAAATATCTATACATATAATAAAATTCTAACTAAGCCGAATCTGTACATCAAATATTTTTTGGAAAATCTTATTGAAATAAACATTATTATCGATACAGAGGCCGAATCTATAGTTTTTAGAATTTATGTATATCTGTCTGCCTGTCTGTCTGTTACAGCATCACAGAAAAACCACTGGAGGGATTTTGATGAAATTTGGTGTGATGATAGTTGGTTATCCGGGTCAACATATATGATACTTTTTACCTCGGGAAAATATCTCATTTCTGAGAAAAAATACAAAACTGCATTGTAAGAGTATAGTGTATACTAAAATGTAAAATCTAAGAATTTGGTTCTCTTTGGTTCTGAACGCGGGCGGAATCGCGGGCAATGCTAGTAAATAAATATTTTGGGACATTAACACACAGCACCATCTAGTTCCATGGTAAGCTACAAGGCTTGTGTTATGGATATCAGATAGTTGATACACTACACAATACACATATTATGTATATAACTTTAAATACATACATTTTATGAATATAAAGAAACACCCATGACTGGACTACAAACATTGATGCTCATCACACAAATATCCCCAGCGAGACTCGAACCCGCGACCGCTGGCACAGCAAGTAGGGTCACTACAAACTGAGCCAAACGTGTCATCGTTAATTATATTTTAGATAACCTACATTTGACTTTTTGGGATGAAAAGCAACCCAAAAGTCATCGAGGGATAAAACTTCTCATTAGTTAAAGTATTTTCAGGATCGGAATTTCCCGAATTTACCTTATACACACGACACACACTTTAACTCTTTAGAACGGACTGTTAATGCTTTAATTATTTTTAATTAAAACTATATTTTCGGAATTTTCGCGGATTTATTTTGATTTTTGTTTCCCGCAGTTCCGAATGCTTTACAGCAATCATGGTCACCGTAGAGACGTAGGTTATAGATGTCTCAAAGATCATTATAATATGTAGTTGTTATTTATATGTAATTAATAGTTTATCTTTAACATTCTAGCCTTAGCATCAGGCGACAAGGATGACACGATGCCAGAAGCGGCCAAGCGCCACACCATGCCGCCGCAGCCGGCGCCACGACCCACCACTATAAAGGACAAGGTACAATCACCACATCTACAATCTGTCTAATCTATGTCTTCTTAATTATTCTGAGGCATTATCACAGTTTTGTTATATCTGTTTAACTTTTCGTAATTAGATGCCAATTTCTTAGATTATGTGAAATGTAAATACAAGGTCATTAGGTGTACCCCGCGGTTTCACCCGAGTTTTTCTTTGATTATAAACATCAGTTTTATAATAATGTATGGAAGTTTGCTCGATTTGTGATTACTGCTTCACTCCCGTGGGTAGTAGCATGATTATATTATAGCCTATAGCCTTCCTCAATAAATGGGCTATCTAATGCAAAAATCAATCAAATCGGATTAGAAGTTCCTGAGATTAGCGCGTTTAATCAAACAAACTCTGCCTCTTTATAATATTAGTATAGACTTTCTATGGTTTATTTCATTTAATATGAAATTAATTAATGTTTTTCAAATTGTATGAGGATTTATTTAAAAACTTGTTACCACCCAATTTTGTTTCAAAGATCTAAAGCGAGATGCGTCTGTTTCTAAGAAAATAAATCTTTTGGATAATTTAGAATTTATAAAACATTCGCCGGTTAGGCACGTTGCTAGGATAACTAATTATAAGTTCGTATACAGATAACAGATTTCATAATACACATAATAATATTGTCTGAAAACAATAATTTTGTCAGTCATTCTGTACATATAAATTGGTAAGAACGTGAAGACTAAAATATACCTATCAAATATACAATGCTCAAGTTCTAATAACCTAAATCGTGTTATGACGTTGGGAAATTATTTCAAGGACGATCAGTTCTTAGTTTCTCCCATACATCTTCACCGTAAGGCGAGTGATTTAACCAAGTTGGAATATTGGGTGAGACGCGGGGTTCGAAGCCACTTTACTTGGCTTGCCACTGACTGTTTTATCCCAAAAAATGCTGAACCTTGACGATGAACTGATTTCGTTAAGGTATATTTATATATTTAAAAGGAATATCAATAAATCAATTTATCAATCAAGTCGAGATTGTTAACCTACGGATTAAAAAAATATATACATTATGTTTGTTCCACCAGAAATTAATGAAAATGTATGACGCTATAATTTGCTCAAATGTAAATATTATGAAATCTGTACACTGTTCGAATACTTGGAATACCCGAATTCTTCAGTCAATTTAAAAATATTTGCATGTTTGCTTTTGTAAACAAACCGATCTTTCCGCATCGAGGCTGCCGTACATTGCAGACTGATTACTCCTAGCACTAATATAAAAGTCTAGATTTTTTAGCCAAAATGCTTACATTTTGCACATTATGAATATATAAACAATGACATAATACTGTCTTAGATTTTTGCGGAGTTTTCAAATTTTGAATACGAATATTTTTTGGGTTTTTGGTTTGGGTTTTTCGCGGTTATATTTTAATTTTTGCCCGTTCCCCGCGACTCGAATGCTTTACAGCAAACATGGTCGCGGGAGAAATTAAAGTTTTTGCTTAAAAGTATCAGCTATTACAGACGGTAGTCATCGTCTAATCGGTAGACGCCAAGATATAAGCAATAATAATTTGTTGGAAAAGATAAATGAACTATCTTAAAACATTAAACATTTAATAAATGTTACTAATTAGTGTTGCTATAGTTTTACAATTTGAGAAACGTCGAGGAACAAACAGCAAAATGGAACTGCGTTAAATTTTAAATAATTAAAAAATTATATGGGTGATAAATACATTTTATGATGCTATACATGTGGTGGTCTAGTCAGAGGTGATGTCATTTGTACATACATAAATAAAATAAATAAAAAATAAACATCATTAGCACATTTCTTGTCTTATATAAGATTAGAAGTTCTTAAAATTAACGTTATATTATTATATATCAATAAAAATTTATTACTTTGATTCAGTCTTAAAAAGCCAGTACGTTGATCCAGTTTCATGTGCAACAAGATATTTTTTATTGGAGATCATTTAGTGACTAAAAAATATATTTGCTCAATCCGTAGTACAGATTCTGTACATCAAACTTGCGATCTCCGTCTTAGGAGATAGTGCTACCAGGCAAATCTATTACCACTAAATATAACACCAGTCTGCAATGTCCGACGGCTGATAAGATAATTGGGCATTACCGATTAGTATAAATCAACATCCTCCACTCGACTAATAGTGTTTGCACGGTAATGGATTCATCTGTTTCATACTAATCATGTCTCTGAGGAAAACACTAGCACTTTACAATCTTAGTGTTTTATTAACTCGCAGCTATATGCGGTCGAATAGAATATGCACATTAAAATATATGAAGTTTCAAATAATTTAATATCATAGAACAGTTGATTTTGATGGTGTTAATTAGGAATTAAACTCAATTTGAATTTATGATGTAAAACGGGATATATATTATCATGTTTTACACTTACTTTTATGATTTCTTTAGTGAAAATTATTCTTAAGGGAAAACATGGTAAATATCCCGTTTTACATCATAAAGACATTGTCAGTCATCATGCTTTAATATTGGTGTGAAGTTTGGCTCATATACAAACGAGAAACAATCGTTTTTTTAAATGAAATTGCTACTTTGCTTAAAGATTATAAAACTGGATCGCGTAATGATCAAATATGAAAGGCTAGTGTTTTCCCCACTAACACACATATCTCATGGGGACGCAGCTCAGACGGCGCTCGGGAGGCGCGGCCTCCGCGTCCTCCGCCTCCTCGCTGGAGGGCGAGTACTACGCCGATACAAAGGTGCTACACATACCACCTTCATACACCGATGCGTGTGTCGCTGGAGTATTGGATGAAACGGCGCCGTCTGTTTGTAAAATGACGAAGGCATATTGTAAAAGTTGGATTATCAGTAGGAATTTCCGGGTTCAAGAAGAAAAAAACAAACAAAAAGGCTAAGACGGGAGCTACCAAATCTGTCGCCAAGACTGAATGCAATTTTTAAAATAAAACACAACACGTGCTTTACATAGTTGCTTTTATATACTGATAGATAATGGTTTTGTTAAATAGTTGAGACTATAATGTTTTATTAAATCATAGTTACGTATTTCGACAAAATGACCTAATTAAGTTTAAAATTATTTTGCAATCTGCCTTCGGCATTTTATAAGAGCACGAACATTTGGAAACAGACGGCGTGGTTTGTATAATGACATATCATTTAATATGCCTGCGACATGTCCACCTTTGTAAGTTAAAAGGTATTAGAGTAGCCAAGTGACATAGAACGCTGTTAATTATAATGCTGTAAGCATAGATATTATAGAAGAATAATTTTAAGTGATCCAAAATTGTTGCTGTAGGTCATAGATCAATCGGAATTATGAGTATAAGAGCTTGACTTTGCCTTGTTCCGTGTTACATGTTGGCCGCATTCTAGTTTTGTCTTCTTCTAGAATGACAGTCTCCCAAGGATTTAATGCTTATGGGCTTGCTTACTCTAGTATGTATGTGGATGAAAGTGAAAAGTAGATACCAGCCACAAGGCAAAACTAACTAATTCCAAAGTAATATGCTCATTTTAGCAATTTGGTAAGTGAAAGATGGAATATTTTGGGGATTAAATACAAGAGAAATATATTTTCATAATACATACATACATATAAGTATATAGTATTTTGATGAATTAAACGATAATTGTGTGCCTAGTGTGAGTTTCTGTATACGTACATATTTATGTTAACGCGGATTTGTATAGAAGGGAAACACCGCCATCTAGTGGCAAAATTAGCGACTAACTCAGTAACATAAAAGTTTAATAAAATGTAATGTAAAGTATTTTCTGCAACTCACAGTCGGCATACCGTTTTAAGAAATTAATAGAAACTTAATAGAAAGGGTTTACTGTAACTTAAACTGTTGCATATGTTGTTTTCAATAATATCAATTTGTCATATAAAATTATAATATCTTTTAATACTGTATCATTTATGATTGATTTTTCGATCAGAAGAAATTTATATTTATGCACATACTATATATAAACAAATAAAAAAATACAGTTTTACTAATGAAATAGTGTAACATATTGTTTTACATTCGTGTTTATTGATTTTAATTTTTTTTCGACGATTGAAAGATCAACCATTACTTTTTAAAATTCCAATGACCTCAATCTAAATTTTCCTTTGTGGAGTTGACTAAAATTTAATATATATCACCTATAAATTATCTCAAATTCCTCTTTTTACGAAAAAGAAGGTTATTGGAATATGTCGTTAGTGATGTAGCATTTACTTATTTTAGACTATAGGTTGTTACTTCACTAAACATAGGGGCTTGGACAAGATGCCATTCTACAATCGATGGCGAAATAGATATTACGTTTTTATGACATAACGATTTCATTTGTCATTTCAATACAATTTTTTTTTTCCTCAACGGTTGTAGATAGGGCATGTCTAAAAGTCCCATAGCTTTAGTTTGCTTAGTTATTAAATAAACTTTATCACCTGAGTGCAGTTTTAGCTTCGTACATTAGAGACAGCGTCCACCTAAATATAGATGCGTTTAATGTATCCACAAATTACCACATTGAAACCAATAGATAAATAAACGAAATAAATAGACTGCTTAATTCTTCTCATAAGATTATTTTTAAATCGTTTAGAACTCTCATCTAAAATATTGTTGCTTGAAAAATTTAGTTCAATTCGAAATGTTTCAATATTGCTTCATACGATATTGAAAAATTTTGAATTTGTGGGAATTTTTCATTATTCTAGTTTTGTTTTAGTTGCGTACAGCATGTTAGTGATATCACAAAGTTATGTGTTGATTGCTCTTTCATAGGTGCTTTTATGTTTTTATAGATTTATACTAATGTCTGTGTTCGATGAATAGTTGAAACGACATATTTTTATGTAACTTTGTTATATTATAGAAACCACCTCCCGGTGCCGTGAAGGTGATGCCGACTGCTCCTGACAAGAAGAAGGAAGAGAAGTTAGCCGAACGAAAACCAGCGGAGAATGGTTAGTTATGAATCAAAATTATTTATTTAATTGGTTATAAATATTTAGCTATATTAATTTAAAATAGTAATAATTATTCTTATTTCGTCTACTTTAAAGGCTATACAGTACATATGTTGGGACATAAACACACAGTACCATTTACTTCCATGGTAAGCTACGACGCTTGTGTTGTAGATACCAGATAGTTGATACATGTATAACTTCAAATACTTACATAGGTATTATAAATATAAACACACAAATGAATGCCCCCAGCGAGACTCGTACCTGCAACCCCTGGCACAGTAAGTAGGTTTACTACAAACTGAGCCAAACGTGTCGTCATAGTACATGTTTGCTTTCCTGTATCATGGTGGATAATATTTAAATGACGTTAAATCGAATATAGTAATAAGTTGTTTTATTTGGAGCAAAAGTAAACAAATCATTTGAAACTCCAACTTTAAGTTTTGTTTATGTTTTGATAATCATTAGCTATTTTTTATGTTATAGGTACCGACACGACCAGTGATCCTGGAATCACGAACAATATTATAGAAACGCCGAAAAAATCAAAGGTATTATATGTTGATATACAACTTCTTATGTTATACATATATGAATGGTAGAAAAATGCAATTGCCTTTTAATATAACAATTCAACTGTAGATTTTATGTCATGTACATCTTTGTAAATATTCGTCTTAGAGGCATGCATTATGTACATTCGGTTCGCACTCAATGTCCGTGTCTATTGACGAGACTGCTGCCCTAGACTGCTGCGTACACCGATTTTTATATAAATAGTATAATTATTTTAGTTATTTTTCCGTGCGTTTTCTTATTTTTTTTTTTTCTTCCAAACCCTTTCCTTATCAGGGAGGCTTCGGATTATTCGGTAAAAAAGAAAAATCACCTAAAGATGACAAATCTAAAAAAGAGAAATCTCCCAAGACGAAAGATAAATCTGAAAAATCTCCCAAAGACAAGTCGCCGAAAGATAAAGATAAGAAACTTAAAGATCCTAAAGCTAAAATTGCGATGCTCGACACGTCGAACGATAGTTCCAACCTGGATAGCTCTATTGATAAAACCCCTTCGAAAGTTGAAGATAAACCGAGCTTTACTAAGCCATATGAATACACTGATACAGAGAAAAGCCCAACACGAAAACCGTTTATTCAAGGGGCGTTTAGTTATGAAAAAGAACCAATTTCTGATGAAAAACAAAGAGGTTTGGATGATAATCAAAGTCCGGGAACTAGGAAAGCCGGGCTTGCCTTCAATTATGCTCCTGGAGAAGACAAAAGGGTTGCTGAAAGCGCTGAGAAGAGAAAGACGCCTGAAGACCCAAGCAAACTTAAGACACCTGGTATCGATTATGTACAATCAGCAGCTTTGAAAGAACAAGCCAAGACTCCCAGGTCAGACTTGATTGATCCAACACTAGCGTTGTTGGATGCTGAAAGAGCTCACCATGAAGCACCCATTGCTATAGCGCCGGTGCCAACTAAAGCCGATAATGAAATCCAAGTTGTAATAATAACTGGTAGATACAATCCTAAGACTAAAAAGTTGGATGACGCCAATGGTACAGTTCTCGTAACAAAGGGAACACTGAACAAAGCCACCGGCAAGGTTCAAACTGAAAAAGAACTCATCAATACTAAAACTGGACAAGTTAATTATACTGATCCTGCCACAGGTAAACAAGAAGTTAAAAATGGACATGTTGATTCTAAGTCCGGCCATATATTATTTTCATCTGGCGTTATTGATCCAAAGACTGGTAAATTAGACCCCACATTAGCGCAACAATATTGCTTCGTAGAAAAACTGAATGACAAAGTTGGTGCTAAACCTGGCAGAGAAGTTGACCTTGTTGTAATTACTGGTAAATATGATGGAAAGCATAAGAAATTAGACGCGTCTCATGGGCATGTTGAGGTATCTAGAGCCATTGTTGCACCAGATGGGACCGTTCATTCGAATTATGGTCTATTAGATCCTCGCAATGGTAGAATTGATTATATTGATCCTAAGACGGGCAAACAGGATCCTAAACAAGCGTATGTTGATTTGAAAACTGGCAACCTTCTCGTTACAACTGGCGTTTGTGATCCCAAGTCCGGAAAAACCGACTCTTCACTAGGACAACAATACAGCGTAGTCGAGAAAGACGCTACAAAAGCAAACAGAGAAGTAAGGTTAGTCGTCGTCACAAGCAAGTATGATTTGAAGAATAAGAAACTGGATCCGTCCTTTGCTCACGTTGATTCCATCAAGGGCGTACTGAGTGGAGCAGATGGGAAAATATATACTGAATATGGTGTTATTGACCCTAGAACGGGTGATATCTCAGTGACTGATCCCAAGACGGGTAAGCAAGAGGTCAAACGTGCTACAGTGGACCCGAAAACTGGAAATATTCTCTTATTATCAGGTGTTATTGACCCCCGAACTGGACGGTTAGATACAACGCTTGGTCAGCAATATAGTATTGTAGATAAACCTACATCGACGTTTGCAACGTTACCAGGAAGAGAAGTCCAAGTTATCGCTATAACTGGAAAATACGATACTAAGAGCAAGAAACTAGATAATCCCAATGGATTCATTGAAACATCTCAAGCTATAATTAGTGACAAAGATGGTAAGGTTCACTGCAACTTTGGTGTTATGGAACCAAATACTGGAAAAATTTATTATACAGATCCAAAAACTGGTAAAAGGGATTCGAAACAAGCGACAATCGATCCTAAAACTGGTAGTTTCCTACTTACTTCAGGAGTTATCGACCCAAAGACAGGAAAAACTGATTCTTCTCTTGCTCAGCAATTAGCTGTTGTTGATAAAGATGCTCCTAAAGGTATTCCTGAAAGGCATGTCAATTTGGTCATTGTCACATCTAAATATGATCTAAAGAATAAGAAATTGGATCTATCAAATGCCCACGTTAATACTATTCCTGGAACAATCGACGATAATGATAAAGTACATACTGAATTGGGTGTCATCGATCCAGCTACCGGGCAAATAACGGTGACAGATCCTATTACGGGCAAGAAAGAAATAAAAAAGGCCACCGTGGATGCCAAGACGGGTAATATGCTACTTACTTCAGGTGTCATCGATCCCAATAGTGGCATCATTGATCCCACATTAGGCCAGCAATACACGGTAGTTAACAAACCGAAGGATACCTTTGCTACTGTGCCGGGCAAAGAAGTACAACTAGTGATTATAACCAGCAAATATGACCCCAAATACAAACGACTTGACAACCCTAATGGTCACATTGAGACATCTCGTGCTATTGTTGCTCATGATGGAAGAATTCATTCAAACTTTGGTATATTAGATCCTAGGACAGGAAAACTGGAACAAATAGATCCTGTGTCAGGTAATACAGAAGTAAGAAATGCTGTAGCTGATCCTAAGACTGGTCATCTCATCTTAACAAGTGGTGTAATTGATTCGAAAACTGGAAAACTAGATTCATCGCTGGCTCAGCAAATTAGTATCGTTGATAAGGATGCAAAGCCCATAGAAAGAGAAATTCACTTAGTCATTATTACAACTAAATATGACCCAAGATCAAAGAAGATTGATCCAAGCTTAGGTACAGTAGAAACTGTTAGTGGAACAGTTGGTCCAGACGGAAAGATCCGCACAGAGTTTGGTACAGTCGATCCAGCGACAGGAGAAATTATTATTACTGATCCAAAGACGGGCAAACAAGAAATCAAAAAATCTGTCATAGATCCGTCCACTGGTCACATGTTGGTCACAAGTAACGTTGTTGATCCGAAAACTGGAAAAGTTGATCCAATTCTAGCACAACAATATAGTATTGTCAATAAGCCTGTTGTGCCACATGCGAAACCAGCTTCCAGAGGAGAAGTTCGTCTTGTTATTATAACTAGTAAATTCGATCCCAAAACTAAAACGGTTGACGCAGGGGCAGGCACTGTTGATGCTGCCAAGGGATATGTTAGTGTTGAAGATGGAAAAATACATACTGACTTCGGTATTATCGATCCTAAATCTGGTCAAGTACTTTATAAAGATCCTGTAACTGGCAAACAGGAATTAAAACAGGCTGAAGTTGATCCTAAGACAGGAAACATTTTAGTCACTTCTTCGATTATTGACCCGAAGACCGGCAAAGTAGACCCCTCATTCGCTCAACAATTAGTGATTGTTGATAAGCAGAATGTACTGTCTAACGTTGCGCCAGTATCTCAAAGAGCTAGTTTACCTCCAGCTAGACAAACTCCTTCTCCTGTAAAAACTCCCACAACTACGCCAGTTCAAACACCATTGCAATCACCAGTACGTACATCTGCACCCATTGTAAGCCAAATGCAAAAAGCATCACCAATCACTTCAGTTCGTGCGATGACTCCAACTAAACCAACAACTGCACCTCCTCAGCCACCCAGGAAGAAGATAGTTAAAATCATGGTTATCTTTACCAGACTTGACCCTAAAACCAAAAAACCTGATTTCCACACTGCAGAAGTTGAACATCTTACCGGTGTACTTGATCCCAACGGCTTAGTTGAAACTAAATATGGTGTTATAGATTCTAAAAGGGGTAGCATTGCTCTAACTGATTCTGCCGGTCAGAGGCAAACTAAAGAGGGATTAATTCTAAATGAAACTGGACAAATATTTATTAACTCAGGAGGCATCGACCCTAAAACAGGAAAAATAGATTCTAATATTGGCATGATTGTCAGTATTGCTAAGCAAGATGATCCTGTAGTCGAAATTACAACTATAACTGGCCCTGTTGATGCTAGGACTGGTAGAATTAACATTGAAGATGGTGTTGTTGAACACACTAAAGGAAAAGTTGACGCCGAGACTGGTAATATATCAACCAAATATGGCGTGATTGATCCCTCCAATGGAGTCATATTTGTAACCGACGTTTATGGAGGTCAAGACGCTAAAACTATTCAAATAGATGAAAATAATGGACAAATAACTGTAATCGGTGTTCTAGATCCTAAGACTGGAAAAGTTGATCCAAAGCTTGGGCAAGTACTTGTAGTTGGAAATCATATCGATCCAGTTGTTGAAGTTACAACATTTGCAGGTAAAATGGACTCTAAGAAAGGTATCATTGAGGCAAAGAATTCTGTCATTGAAAGCAGTACTGGTCAAATTAATCCAGATAATAATAAAATTGATACTAAGTATGGACAGATAGATCTTGTCAAAGGTACTGTTACGTACAACGATCCTAAGACCGGTAGGTTTGAGAGCAAGGATCTTAAAGTTGACCCAATCACTGGTCAATTCTTGTTACGCAGTGGACAAGTCAATCCTAAATCTGGAAAACCAGATAAAGATATTGGCAGATTGATGTGTCTTAGAATTATCCAAACTAAGATTGATCCTGTTTCAGGCAAGCATATTGTTTCTAATGATCCGAAACACGTTAAAGTTGATCCAAAAACAAATCAAATTTGGATCGCTGGACCAAAAGATCCCAAGAGTGGAGAAGTACTATATACAGCAGGTCAAATTGATCCAAACACAGGATACATCATTACCATTTACGGTCGAATGGATCCTAAAACTGGAACGATCACTAGAGCGACAGACATTGACAAATCTCTTATTAAAATCGATCCAGTTAATGGACAAATTTACACAGCAACTGGAGATGTTGATGAAAACAATGAACCCCTTTATTCAGCTTCTCAAGTTGACCCTGGAAGTGGCGAAATTTATACAAAAGTGGGCAAAATCGACCCCCGAACTGGTAAACTTATCATTATCAAAATATACATTATTACACAAAAAGATGAGAAAGGCCGCGTTAAAGAACTTGATCCCAAAGAATGTACGATTGACGAAACGACAGGTAGGATAATTACAACCAAGACCGTATATGTCTACCAGATTATCGATCCAGTTACTGGCGAGACCATTGATGTCGACCCTGACGATCCGAGACTTAAGGGAGCGCGCACAACTGTGACTCAGACTATGACGTTATCCGGAAAAATAGATCCTGTTACGGGAAGAATAAAGACAGAATACGGTGATATCGACCCTGACACGGGTGACATAGACCCTAGCACTGCCGTACGGGACCCAGTAACTGGTCAGCTGATATTGCACTATTCACAAATCGATCCATCACACTTCGAAGATAAGAGCGGAAATTATACAATCGAAAAGGAGACTCACGATTTACCGGCAAATATTGACATCCAAACCGTAAATACACATAAATTCTCAACTTTCGGCAAAGACGAGAGTCCAGCTCGGGGAGATGAACCTAAGACGTTCACAGAGTATACAACGAGCGAGCACATTAAGCACCAAGGTTACGTTTCGTCCTCCACCCCCCTATCCTCAAAGATCCCGATTTCACAGCGATCCAAGAAAACCCCAACCCCGCCGGTGGTCGTCAAAACAACCACTAAGCAACTGCTCACGAAGAATGACGAGGGAGTGACGCACAACGTAGAACAGGAGGTGGAAAATCTGGGTACTGGTGAAGTCACCTTCTCGACCCATACGAATAAGGTTCGTTTCATTCTATACGTAAAATTCCAGTAACATGTCATCCTTATATGTTGTTTTCTTTTTGATTTTAACTTTGTTTTTTTTTCAATTTTTTTCTTTTAAATTGAGCTTGAGAGCTTTAGTAGTAACATCGATGTTTCCATGTAAATAGGTTCATTCGTAATTTCGTAATGCATGTTAGTCTAACCCTCATATGTAGGCGGAAAGCTTAGAGCCGATGGAGGGGAAAAGTCCTTACGTGACCGCGAGGGCAGTGACCACCAGGACCGCGACCACCCTTCATGATTTGGACACAAAGGCAAAAACGCAGCAAATGGAGGAAAAAACAGTCGCACACACACTGACGTCTTCCGCTACCAGGCAGGAGCAAAGGGTTCTGACCCAAGAAGTTAAAACCACCGTCACTACAGGAGATAAGGTACCCACTATCATATACAATATACATACATATTACCACTGGAAATCATCCCATTGGCATGGTTTGATTTAATTTTCAAAGTTCCTTAACTTTTACTTTTTTTTTCTTTGATTGTTTTTTTTTTGCTTTTGTATGGCAGCTTTTTCACGAATGCGCTTCGTTACGAGCTATCCAAGGCTTACAACTAGCGTTGCAAGAACAGTATAAAGTCTAGTTTAAGTTTATAGAAATTCAATAAAAAATAAGTTTTTAAATTTGAAAATATGGCACTAGAATATTTCTTTTTCTCTTACATAACAGTGTGAAAAAGCCGCCATAGTCTGCATGAGGGATTGTTTTCTAATTTTAATATATTTTTTTTCTCCCCAACCCCACATTATGGATGAAATAATTGCATGGTGTGAACTTCGACCCATTTGTGATAATCCCATCCAATGGACCATCAAACACACGCCATGTCGGACTATTGGCACTTAACACGTGGACCGTACGGACTATACCATACCATATCATGAACACAATAGCTTACTAGGCGTGGCTCAGAGAGTTCTTTGAGCAGCGGCGACTCCGGCACTCCCATAGACTTTGAAGAGGGCGCAGAGGGACATTATTATGTCACTGTGAGTATAGTTTTTGGCATTTAAAAAAAAAGTGATTTATAATTGTTTTTTTTTAAATTAACTGTTGTAAATAAAAGTAAGACTGTCTTTTCGGGGTTTTTCGCGGATTTATTTTGATTTTCTCTCCCATGATTGCTGTAAAGCATTCAAAACGTCGAGAACATAAAATCAAAATAAATCCGCGAAAAAATCCGAAAAGATAGTTTTATTTAAAATGTCAAATATTTGCGTAAATCTAACAAAGTATTATATTAAATTATTTTTTTTTGAACAGTTATAGTTACGTTTTGATTACAAAATCTAGATATCCGGTTTTGAAAGTCGATAATGAATTACTTTTTTGTTGTTATACTTTTTGTTTTGAATCATTTATAGATCGTTACTAATAGTTTTAACTTCATGTGGAAATTAAAATAATAATTTTCATTCATATAAATAATAATATTTTAATTAAAATGGGCGCAAAAATTTCACCATAACAAAAGGTAAATAGGAAAATATCTTGTCCTGTACGTTAGAATGGTCTTAGACAAAGTATTTGTGATGCCTGTAGCATGCGATAAAGACATCATATATGTTATACATATTTTGCACTCAGATTTATACCATCGTGGTCCTAGTGCCATTCACTGATGGTTGCAGGTTTGATGCCCATCTTGTGCAATTACTTATACTATGCCTCCACATAAAAGGATACTATAGCATATTAGAATAATAAGCATATTTCAGCATGGTGAAGATTAGCATGAAAATAGAATACCACTTAAGACATCAATCACCGAGCTCTTCACGCTCCCTCTATCTTTTTATCCTCTTTCTCTATAGGTCCCATTCACAATATATGTATGTATAAAATTAATTTAAAATAGTTAATAGTTTGTATACCTACAGATAGGATTATCTAAAAAACAAAGTGGATATATATATGGAAATTAATCGCTACTAATTTGCAGTTTTATTATTATTATTTTGAAATATATATACACATGTATATATAGAAATTACCGTCGACGTACGGACGGACAGAATAATTTTAATTTGCAAATTAACGGAACTCGAAGTAAACTAGATGATGTCATATATAATTGCTTCGCACCCAAATGGTTATCGCTCGTCTGTTTATAAGTTTTAGCATGATTTAGTGCGTTCCTGCATGTTGTATGAAAATAGTGTATGAAATAGATATTAGTTATTTTAGATATCTGTGTATGTTTGTTTATTGTATATTTTTAATACACTTTTTTGTTTTGAAGGTATGTTTTGCTTAGGTATAAGTTAGCATTTATTTCATATATTTTTTTAATTTTTCATTTTTTTAAATTGTTTTTAGTTGAGATTTTTTTTAACAGACTCAATTTTGTTTTTTTTTAATACACTTATTTTACTTTGCTAAGGGTAAATTATGATGCGTTCGCTTCCAAGGTATATGATGAGTTTCAAATAAATGTTTCAAAATATTTTTGTAAATTTTTTATTCGTCCGTTTCTACGCGACATTAATAGCTGAGTTACTTTTTTTTAAATTGTATTATATAATAACATATCAAGTGCTCAATTTAAATTAAAAGGTAGTTGATATCACGGTTCATATAATCATTAATTTTTTTCAGCTACAGGTTATTTAATTTCATGTCTAATATTTATAAAAAATACAGTTTTATAAAAAAAAGTGACGATAATTACTAATTAAATCTTCGTGTTGTTGAAAGTTATTTTAAACATTAGCACGTTACAAAATGTATGTATGTACAAAAATATTCCATACGTTCATCTTTTTTTGCATCGATGTATCGGCAATGTACTGTTTCTAGATTTTCTGATATACTAGAATCATCACAAATATAAACATGCAAAAGGGTGTTTGTTAGGTTACAGGCCAGACAGTAATAGGCCGTTTTTTCTATATTACAGAGAGGTTATTTTTTTAGATATAATAAAAAAGAACTCAGGTGTTCATAAATAAAGCCTTAGCAAAGCTCTTTACCAGTATTTAATGACAAGGGTTGTACCAAAAAGATGTTCAACTTTGATTAAAAAAATCATGAGGTGTAAATAAACTCTATGTATTACAAAATAGTATTTACGATTCATTACATTTTTTATCTTTACACCATTGCTATATAAAACACACAGATACACATTTCCTAACAAATATCTCTTCACAAAGTGACGTCGACGTGTGACGTTAAGTCAAAGCAATGAATACAATTAAAAAATCGAAAGTTCTAATTGTCTAAACACAAATTCTAACTTACGCGCACCACATAAAGTACTTTGTTAAACGAAACAACATGCGTTTGAATTTTGTCATCCGAATAGCAATGAACGAAAGAGATTTGAAAAAAGTGCATTATTTCGATTTTTTGCATTTTTTGCGCACACTTTTGAGATGCTAGTTGTGTATCTTGATTTTTATATATCAATGCTTAACAGTGAATTTGTAACATTTAATATGATCCTGCTACACTTTGTCTGTATGTATGTGTGTAACCTGTATGAACTATCTCAGGAGCCGGGCTCGTACCGCACTACGACGAGCTCGACCGTGATGGGCAACGCGCCTTTCGGCACTATGGTGCACGGGGCTGCCGCAAGGGTGAGTTTTGTTTGATTTTATGTTCTTTATCATGTTTTAACCCCCGACGCAAAAACGACGGGGTGTTTGACGTGTCGTGCGTGTGTGTCTGTGAGTGTCATCATAGCTCCCGAACGGATGAACCGATTTCGATTTTGTTCTTTTTGTTTGAAAGGTGAATTAGTCGGGAGTGTTCTCAACTAAGTTCGAAAAAAATCGGTCTAAGATGGTCGGGTTTTTTTTTCTTCAGTTTTAATTTATCACTTGTTAGATAATTGATTTGTGAGTAAATACTTCTTAATTCACTAATTGTCCATTGACTATATCTATGTACAATGTACATAATAAGAATACATTTTGGAAACGGCTCCAAAGAATTTGGATAAAATTTTGTATTTAGATAAGGTTTTGTTTTTTAAGTTTACCTAGGTAGATGCCTTTTCTGAAAAAACGTAATTTTCTTAAAATGTCTGTAGCATACAATTTAGTCTAATTTTTACCTACATTAACCAAAAAAAAATTATGGTGATTTAATAACATAATCTAGTACGGTACAGAGGCTACCATATCTTTGTGTTGACACAGCCTAATTTAAACTGAGTTTTAGAAAACCAACATTATTCCGTATAATAATAAATATGTGTATGTTTTTTGTATGTAATATTGTTTAGTGTTTTATTGTTCAATTAATATATTATTATATTATTATTATTAATGATATAATTAGTCAATAATAACACGACGAGTTCCCAAACAGATGAGCACCGGCCCGCCGGCGCCCAGCCCGCCGCCCGAGGCCGAGGCGGCGGAGGGCGAGGTGGTGTCCTCGCAGACCATCAGCTCCAAGACGCGCACCGTCGAGACCATCACAGTAAGTGTTTAGTGCTATATATATAATATATATAACTCACTGACGATTATAAAAGTACTGAATATAAGCGAGGAATATCTCGAAGTTTTATTAGGAACTCTATATATATAACAAAAAATATTTCGAGTTGATTAATCATTTTTACGAACAAAATGTATGGGGAAAGTTTTTGGCTATTTATGTAATATTTAGTACTTATATCTTAAATCGTCCCATAGAGACTTTTGATCGCTACATGAAATGGGATCGATTGAGATAATTTACCCTGAGGTACCTTTTTTTTTTTTTAACGTTGGGAAATGCATTTACGCACGACGTGTGGGACTCACCGGCGTAATACAGCCAGTACTACCCACTAAAACCCAACAAAACCTTCCCCCGTCTTAATGGGGCGTCGCAGGATCGCTTACGCATTCAACTACGACGCCCCGACGGCAGGTCTGCCGAAGCAGACCACAACAACCACGGGGTTGCTCCAAGGTCCACTCTGCTATCAGAGAAGTACCAGGAGCAACCCGCAAGGTACACCGCCCCCCGAAGAGGGCCACCTGCCACCGCCCACCGAAGCGGGCAACCTCCCTGTGCGTTTCTTAGCTTCGCTACTACTACTGAGCCCCCCCACCACGACAAGGTGAACGCACGTTGGGGGGGACCCTGAGGTACCTGCCCTTACTGTCCCGTCTTAAAAAATCCACCCTGTATATGTTATAGTAAAAAATAACTACTATATTAAAATTTGTCACTAAACCAAATTTAAATTATATTAATAACCTTGACCTAATACGAAATCAAAATCACATTCAATCAACTTTAAACAACAACAATTTTTTTAAATGTAATTTATCATTCAATAAAGTGAAACTATAGTCTTAAAAATATTTTTTTTTTTTGGCCAAATACTTATACTTTGAGACTCGTCAAAACGAATGAAATGAGTCTTATATTTTATTATCAGTCGGATTTCATATACTTACAAAGTTTCAAAACGATAGACAGAAGAAAATTAAATGTTCTTCTAAGGTTTTAATTAACATAAGTAAATATATAATAGAAGCATTTATATTTTAATTTCTAATTTTTTTGTTTTGTGTTTTTTTTTAATGATTATATTAGATGAATGTTTCAATTATATCATATTCTTTCCTGTTTGGAAACTACAAGTGAAGTTAAAATACGCTTTATAAATACGTAACATTTACTTTCCAGTACAAAACGGAGCGCAACGGCGTGGTGGAGACGCGCGTGGAGCAGAAGATCACCATCCAGTCCGACGGCGACCCCATCGACCACGACCGCGCGCTCGCTGAGGCCATACAGGTACCCATCGAGCACACCGACCACACAACGAACACACTATACACACTAAATATTATTACTATAATTTAAAATAACATTTTTTATCGAAATTTCATGACATTAATATTATGAACCCAAAAGTCTGGAAGTGAGCGTACTTAATTACTCTGCCCACAGATTTAACAAAAATACGAAATGAAAATTTGATATTATTTTAATGAAAGTTAATATTAATATAATAAAACTTTTATTTAGACAAAATACAATACTTAACGCAATGACAGTGTATAGAGAGAATAAAAACATATATAAATTAAACTAATAAAGCCAAACACAGATCATTAAAGAATATGTAAATTTTATTCCAACAAAATTGTTATATCCAATATTGGCATACATATTTACCATCAGCTTTTCAATAACATCTAGATTCTAGGACGTATAAGTAATTATATAGTATGTACATAGGTGCTTAATATAATCTGATCGCTGATAGATCAAGGCGTAGGAAACAAAAAAATTACCGTAATATTTGACACAAGTTACAAACACTGTAACACTAGTTACAAAAATATTTCTTGTCAGAACAAACTCTGTTACTATTATTGATCACACCTGAGACTCGATCCTAGGATCTTTGTATTCTAATAGACTTTTATAGAACATTAGAATTCTCTTGACATTGTCTGTTTGTTTTACTTGACAGGAAGCAACGGCCATGAACCCTGACATGACGGTTGAGAAGATAGAGATCCAACAACAGAGCACGCAGCCGTAACTCCCCGCACGCCATCTTGTCGCCGCCGCTACACAAAATGGCGGCGTTCTAACGCCTTCCACCATGACAATGTAATCCGCTTTTACACACGACTTATCGTACGACGCGCCCGACTAGTCGTTATATTGTTTATAACGTTATCTAAGATATCGTGTATATAAGAACTTAGTGGATACGACCCAATGTCGCGCGACAAGTCGTACGACAGTCGTAGATCAGTCGTGTCGTCGGTCAGGCTTTCGATGTAACCGGGATGTGTATACATACGTGTAGGTAAGATACATCATTGCGAATATTAATTAAGTTAATTGTCGATTAATGATTATATTAATCGATTTTTTTATATATCGATGTTGTGTCGAAAAGCACTCTCGATTCTTTTATAAGAATGCAATTCAAATTGTATGTAAAAAATATTGTAAAGCATTTTCAAAGTTTAACCGACTTAAATAAGCTTAGGCTAAGCGATAAATTTTTGGGCTTTTTAGTACGAGTAAATGTTGCCATAGTTGAAAAATAAATAAAAAAATAAAAGTGTTCGTCTCTACGAAGGGTTACTTCATTTTGATATTAGCTTTAAAACATGTCACGAGGTAGACCACCGTTATTTAGAATAAATTTTTACTCTCTAAAATCTCAAACGACCGCGTACGGGACTGATACAAACTCGATTGAAGTCAAACCTTACCGCCTCATTCATAGACATTATATGCAAAAAATATTATTATTTATATTTAAAAAAAATAATTTAGTAAAAAAAATATATTCTAAATGTCGCTTCTTTATATATCTTGCAGGGTAATTGTAATATCCGTTCAATTTATAATTGGACGTAGTTATGCAAAATAGATCTAACTACAAAAACTCACTTTTGAGAAAATAAGAGTTTTAGTAAAATTGGTATGACAAAGTAACAATACAAGGCCGTAGTTTTTTTGATAATTCCTCTTAAATATTAGGTATTTTATCTACTTTCTGTATATAAGTTGATATGTAGGTGCCATTTATAACAGCAACTCAAAAAACGGTTTACGTATGCTGTATCCACTTTACATAATTACGTCCAATTATAACTTAATGGATCTGGATCTTACAATTTCTTTGCGACATATATTATTCACATATAAAAACAATTAAGTTTTTCACTAAAGGATGAATGGAGCCATGCATATGTCTATTTAAATATTAAAAAAATATATATATAACAATTTTGGCGTGAAACGGGTTTGTACGTGCAATCGGGACCTAAATTATAAATTATATTTACGACATGTTGCTATAATATATTACACCATTAGGTGCTATCTAGTAATAATCGTCTGTGTGTTAGTGCCGTATTTTTTTTAATTTAAGCTGGCAATGGTCTATTTTTGAAGCGCTTGAGCGATGGTAATATTATATATTTCATTTATTATCTACATCTGTATACATATTTGTACACAGATTATATTTAAAAAAAAAGAAGCCATTTTATTTTATAACCTATCTCCGTTCTATTGGTGTCTAGATTTTTAATGTAATATTTTCAGTTTATTTATATATTGATAATATTGATACTAATTTATAGTTTTTATGTGTTATTATGAAATATATAATATTATCACTATGAAGAAAAGGCTTTCACGGTCGGTGTTTAGGGTCTTCACATATATTATAAGGCCAGTTTCGCATTTCGTTCTATCCACAAGCACAAATGTTATTATTACACGAATAATTTTAAATTATAACAAAACAAAAACTCCTAGTTTTGTTTCATTTTTGATGGAAAATTCAAAAATATAACCATTGATCACCATTTTGTTGATATTTTTCGTGTAATATTAAAGAACTTTAAACGAATCGTCATCACCATTTTTATATACAGGACATTCCAATATACCTGGTTTCAATTTAGAATAATCTGGTAGATTATCTTTTTTATATATATTTTTTATATATAAATTAGATCCGATTTTTTAATCTGTGGGCGTTATTTCTGTTTATCTGTAAGCGATTTTACTTATATTTTCTTTATAATATCGTTAAATGAGATGTTATTTTAGTGTTAAAGATGCACAAATAATTTTGACATTTTTCTTTTTTAAGAGATTAATATAGCGTATAAGTGTAATCGTCTAGGTGCCTGTTTTCTTTATTTTCCCCCGTAAATAAACATTTTTTTTTATTAATTGTCTGTGGTGTAGTTTTTTTCTATTTTTCATATATTTCCCGCCCACAGATTATCTAAGACACTGATATTGTACAATTAATATATTCTTATGCTAGCTGTAACGTTTTTTAATACATTAGTTTATAAAGTTAACGCTGGTTTTGAATCAGCGCGGTTTCTCTTTTATTTTTTAATTATATGACTTATATTTTATTGTGAAATTCTAAGAATGCAGCGTTTTTGACAAAATATTGCTTGCATTTTAGAATTGAGTACAGTCGGCAAAATGAATCAAAATGAGAAATGCTATCCAATTATTGCGGTTTATTTCAATTTTGTGATATTTTTCTATTAGTTTTGATTTTTTTTTGCTGATCGTACATTTTGACTTGCGTTATCCTTTTATATTTATTGAGATGTTTATTTTTGTAAGAGTTCCAGCTCCTTATTATTTGATATTTAACGAAGTTATGAAGTAACAGATATTACAATAAAGATGCTTTGTTTTACATATGTTTTATTTAAAAAAAATACATTTTAACATTCATTGATGATAATAATATTTTACTAAAATAACGTGTTTGATAATATATATATATATATATATATATATATATATATATATATATATATAAATCAATATTTCCCTTGGTCACGCCATCACGCGTGAACGGCTGGACCGATTTAACTATTTTTTTTTGTTGTGTTTGTTATTGTCAGGAAAAGGTTCATATGAAAGAAAAAATGTAAAAATTGCGCGGAAAATTATAAAATTTAAGAATACTTATGTATTTAAGAATACTTAACAACCATATTAAAATTTATATAGCTAACGCTGGGTAATAACTATTTATATATATTCATAACGTACCTAGCGACGAACCCGAGCGAAGCGAGTGTGAGCCGCTAGTATTTCATAAAGCTATGATATTTTAGCATAATATAAAGCTATGAGTTTTTAACTGACTTCAAAAAAATGGGTACTTAATTTACTGTATTGTGTCTGACATGTGATATTATCGGAATTACTTATATTTTAAATTTATTTAACCTCTATACTTAAAAATAATTATCATTCAATATTTTGTCAATGCTACTTTATACATTATTTATATTACAAATTTGATGTTGCAACCTGCAAGACAGACAACAATATACTCGTAAATATAAATTTACATTACATAATAATTTTACACTATTTCGTTATTTTATAATATTATTAAAATTATAATATCTAAAAGAAAAAAAGCCGTAATAGTGCATATGACAGTCGGGTGTGCCTCTCGAAAGGTTCACCAAAGGTTTCGGGTTCGACTCCCGCTCAATACAAATACATTGATTACTGACTTAGCAAATGTATTAATTGAAATACACATTTGCGGTAAGTAAAGTTGGTCCATGCAGGCGTCCGTATGCTATTACAAACTTATAAATTTTATATAGTTGCCATACATGGTAAATGGTCTATATAGTTTGCCATAATATATGGCAAGTAGTCACATTTATCATTTAAATATATCCTACTCAGAACTTACTAGTACTTTACAAAGAATCACAAATCAATATCTATATAACACAAAAGATGTTAATTTTAATACTTTAAATTAACATTTTAGAGTTATTTACAAATATTTAATATTTTATTAATCTACTATTACAATACGGTTGTACAACAGTAATGGCACATATTTTTTATAAATATGTTATAACAACTTAATAATTATCTTATTGGACATCAAATTTGTTTATATTGTCATATGAAAATGCTTTAATTTACATACATATATCACTTTAGATGTAAATAAAAAGTACACAAATTCAATTGAAATATGAAAATTTGATATTCTATAAATGAATTTAATAAGACTAAATAATAGATAGCAAGTAAGTCTCTTTAACAACCTCACCGAATGAAAGTTGACCAACTAGAAAGACCTCTTGACAAACATAATATCATATTTATACTTGTGGTGTTGACGGTACCAATGTATTTGATACATCATTAAGGAGGTAAATATACATTTAATTAATCTATACAGATAAATAAAATTAAAGTGTCTGTTAAGTCAAAACAACAAGTTACTAAATGCATATGGAATTATCATGAACGAATTAACCACAATTCGTTCATGGGAATTATATACGGTATATAATATAAGAAAAATACAATTTTTGAAATGATTGTCTCTCTGTTTGTTCCGGCTAATCTCCGAAACGGCTGGGCCGATTTTGACGGGACTTTCACTGGCAGGTAGTTGATGTTATGAGGAGTAACGTAGGCTACTTTTATTTCAGTAAAAGAATTAGAGTTCCGCTCAAAACAATTAAAATGTTCCTATTTAATTTTAAAATATCCCTAACAAACCCTTTCCATTGCCCACCTTCAATGGGATATGGCTAATCAATGCTCCCTGTAGTTGTTTCCCATTTTGAACCACACTGATGCTCATATTTTGAACCGCAACGATACTCACAGTTTGAACTACCCCGGTACTTGTTTTTCTGAAATCATACAGGTTTGATTAAGTTTTTTAAAGAATTATGGCGTTGCACAAATCCTTAAGTTAAAAAACTACCTTATTAAGTAAATTTATTCTTTGATTTGTGGATTTTACTAATGACTTAACGGTTCGTTCTCAGGTGCTTTTTGGTTTTATCTATACTAATATTATAAAGAGGAAAATTTTTTTCTTTATTTGTTTGCTTGTACCGAATAAGCTCCGAAACTACTGAACTGATTTAGATGAAATTCGGTAAGAAGATAGTTTGAGACCCTGGGAAGGACATTTCTATCCCGGAAATCATCCCTTGAGGAAGTAAAAATGGTGATGAAAGTTTGTATGGGGAAGCAACCTAAAGTAAATAAATAAAATAATTGTAAGAAAGCATGAAATGCTCTAAAAAAATAAAAATATAAACTTTAAATTAAAAAAAACCATCAATTTATCACATTACACTATTTATGCGATATAAAAGCTTGTAATATTATAAACTACATCAAAATCCGTCCAGCCGTTTCAGCGTGAAGGAGTAACGAACATACACACATATATTTATGCATTTATATTAGTAATCTGATTTAATATTGCTTTTTTAACTATAGCAGCAATTCATTGAGACTAATACCTAGCACACGGTTTTATTGTTTTTTTTATTCTATCTGCTACCGAGAATTTCTTAACAGAAACAACCAATAGGCATAAAGGGCGACCCGGGACTCGAACCCAGGAAATTCCGGATGTGCAGCCGTACATGCTAGCCACTACATCACCGAGGAAGTCAACAATAGTAACAATAGTTTTCTTCCAGTAACACTTTTTGAAGTTATTTTAATATTCACATTTTAATTTCTTATTCATATAAATTTAAGCAATCCGAAAATCATATTTCTAATTAATTTCATGCATTCATATGTCGCGATGAATCTCAAAAGCGATTTCTATATTGAAAAATAAACTTTATAGTGATGTATCAAAAGTTATTTTACTTACAAAAAGCGAAGTGATGCGTTTTATATCTTGATTCTTGGAGATTTTATCTTCTAGCATGCAAGTATAGAAATATGCGGGAAGCGATAGAAGCATGCCAGCACTAGCTCGTACTTTGAACAGCGTGAAGATGCGAGTAGTTATCTTTTAAGTTTATTTTGTAAAGGTTTCTGTTAATTACTTTTTTAATTTTATTAAATGTCTTTACAGTCGATGAAATCAATATTGTATGATGGATAAATATTTTATTTTTCTTTAAATATACCACATGACGTATAATCATTCCATATGAAATCGAAAAATTTAAATTAAAAAGTATGCCGCATGATTTTGCTTAAAAAAATCTATCCTTTACGCAACTGGATTGACACAGAATCGCACAGTTGAGAATCGTAAAAATAAGGAAAAATTGTGGAAATTACAGATGGTCATCATTTTGTTTCTATTAACTAAAGTTCAGTTTTATTTAATAATATAAAATACACATACACTGTAAGTAAAAAGCTAGATTCTAATATATATACGTATGAAATTGACCCAAACTGGATCAGAAATTATACAATAAAAAAAAATCTGATGGTTTTTCTGGCATCACAAAGATTATCTTCATTTTTTTTATTAAAATTAAAAATCATTCGACACACATTTGAATTTAAATTTGTCGATTTCATACGGAATGACTCGTGTGTTAAACCTTATCAAAATTTCATGCAACATATTACGGAATCAGATTCGCACTTGTTTGATTTTTAGATTATAGCTAACTTTAAAAAAGAGGTCTTCGGTAATATATTTTTAAGAAAAAAAGTATATTTTTAGTGGTGATGGGGTTTTTAGTCAAACTAAACAAGTAGGCGAATTCACGTCTAAATTATATTTATTGACTTAAGTTTTCAGGATTTTCTTTAAGTTTTTAATTACTTTCCAAGTGTCACATTTCATATGAGTTTCACAAACTATAGTTCGTTGTACAGATGATATATAAAACCCTAGATGTACAGTTCCTAATAAATGTCTTAAGGGTTATGAAGACTTAACGCAATACCTATGTAGGTACTGTTTAATACTGTAGGTACTGTTTAGTACTGCGCACAGTTTTGAATCGCTTTTTTTTGAGGACACTTTTGAGATTCTGTGCATCTTGGGTTTTACTATATCTATGTAACAATACAAATTATTGTAGATTTCATATCAGAGCAATGTTAAAATTAATTACAAGAAACTTAACAATATCATGTAACTTAAATTTAAATAACAAATTTTCTCATAAAAGTTAGAGAAAGTCACAAACAATAATTCTACAATTAAAGCATGTATAAGTATGTCTTTAAAATAAATTGTAATTAGGCAAGATTATATAAAGAGCTCATATATAAATAAAAATAAATATATCATTCATTCTATGTACATTCAGTATTGACTTTTCCATGCAATTTGTATGCAATAATTACCCCAATATGTTGCCAATGTTTTGAACGATTCCTTCATTGTTCTTGTATTCGATGCCCTTCATCCCTAAGCCGTAGGGATGTGCGCCGTCTGTCTGGAGGTAGTAGTGGCCCCTGGTGCCGGGCCTCGAGGGATAGCCCATGTAACTAGAAAATATAACAAAACATCCTTTTATTGGATTTTGGACGAAACCAATTCACGTCGTTTCTCCCTCACAAAATTATAATCTTAGAAAATAATATAATTCTTACAAAATTTCTCTCTTTTCATTTCTAAATGCTCTCAATATATGAAGAGTATATTTTTTACCCGACTGCGCGACGCAAAGGAACGTAATGTGTTTATCTGTTTATATATATGTACATACACGTTTTGCCGCGAGATGTACATAATATGTATGTATGTCTCCGACTGCATAATACTATATTCCTTCGTCAACTTATTTCCATCTTTTTACTTAGCTTTTATGCAGTCGGGTTTTTTATTTTTATAATATTTTTTTTTCCATTTTGGGCTTTGTTTTTTCTGTGTACGATACAAACAATATCAAGCCGTTTGTTACACTCAAGCACAAAAACATTACCTTATTTCTTTCTCGCAATCGCCTTTCCTAAACGCGTCCCAGTCCTTACACTTGAGCGCTGGGAACGCCTTAGGGTTTATGATGGACACCCCGAAGAGCTGCCACGCGCGGGAGTGCGAGCAGCTTTGGAGGAGGCAGTTGGGCTGCTTTGACCCGCTGTTGGGGAAGTAGTCTGCGTGACCTGCGTAAGAGTTATGCATTTAACTTGCATACAAGTACTAGGAGGCGTGTCCTAGTCCAATTAAATCAAAATATTTTATTCAGTTTTGAGATTCTGTGCATCTTGGGTTTTACTATATCTATGTAACAATACAAATTATTGTAGATTTTATGTCAGAGCAATGTTAAAATTAATTACAAGAAACTTAACAATATCATGTAACTTAAATTTAAATAACAAATTTTCTCATAAAAGTTAGAGAAAGTCACAAACAATAATTCTATTAAATTTAATAAAATTGTATTAAATTATTACAATTTTTTACTGAACGTCATGAGTCTACTACCAATTCGGAAAGAAGCCTCAGACCTGAGAAGAACTGGCGAAAGAAACTCAGCGGGACCAATATCTTTTCTTAAAGTATAATCTTTTTTTAAAGTAAAATTATAATTTACAATATTTCTATCAAGTTGAAGTAGCCTGGAGGCGATCATTTCATTCCTAAGGTGTGCCATCTTCTATAAAATCATTTATTGTATAATAGTCTTTAGCACACAAAGGTTTTTTTTAACAATTTTTTTGAATTTGGCGATAGAAGCCTTTTGAACATTTTCTGGGATCCTGTTGTACAAGCGTATACATTATAAAAAGAATTACTAACTCTGTGTAGACAAGTCACAGGCATTAAGGCTAGGTGCTTAAAAGGTTATATCTTACTCCTGGACATAATCTATTTTGAACCTAAACATTCTAATCCGTAACAAACACACACACGTACACACACACACACACACACACAGAAACAAACGCGCGTGCAGAAACAAGTGCGGTGTGTGACTCACACACCGCAATTTCATCATATGAAAGGTTTATTTTGTATTTTTTAATTTAATTTTTAGTATATAGTAAGCAAATTAATCATAATGACCCATTCATTTAGTTATGTAAATAAGTGTTGTTAAATAATGTTTCGTAATATACTGTGTATGCCTATAAGGGTTGAGTGCTGACTTCGGTTTCGATATCTCGTGAAAGTAGTAATCAAGCACTTTAATCCAGTTCTTCAGAATTGCGTCAAATCTTAATAAAATTGTAACTAAGCCAAATGTGTACATTAAATATTTTTTGGAAAATCTTATTGAAATAAACATTATTGTCGATATAGAGGCCGAATCTATAATTTTTAGAAAATTTTGTCTGTCTGTCTGTTTGTCTGTCTGTTACCGCATCACAGAAAAACCACTGAAGAGATTTTGATGAAATTTGGTATGATGATCCGGGTCAACATGTAGGATACTTTTTACCGCAGGAAAATATCTCATTTCTGAGAAAAAATACAAAAACTGCATTGTAAGAGTATACTAATATGTAAAACCTAAGAATTTTATTTTTGGGTCATCTGAACGCGGGTGGAGCCGCGGGCAATGCTAGTAATAAATATATTTCAATGGACATATTTTAAAAATAACACAACACTTTAAATTAAATATTAAAGACGCTTATAGCATTTTTCCTACGCTCGTACTTTAGGCATTATCTATTTTTCACATAATCAGATAACAGTCATCCATAACGCTGCCATGATATGATACGATCATAATATTTCTAGGTGTTATAAGTTCATATATTAAAAGTTTAATCTATATATAAATGGGCAGAGACAAAAACCTTTTTCTCTTCTGTTAGTTACTGTTTATTTTTTTTGTTTTGTAGCTATTGACAGGCTTTAGTGTTGTAATATAAAAAATGGAAACAGTTTCTTATACATATAGATAGGTAAATTCTTTATATATCATATATAGATAAAATTATAATTTATGTTTTCATAATACTTTCTTAGATTTATGCGATTATTTGACACTTTGAAATAAAACTATCTTTTAGGTTTTTTTCGCGGATTTATTTTGATTTTTGGTTCCCGACGTTTCCAATGCTTTACATAAATCTTGATCACGGAACAGACTCTCCCGTGACCATAATTGCTATACAGGAAAGAACCGAAAATCTAAATAAATCCGCTAAAAAATCTGAAAAGATAGTTTTATTTAAAACATTAGTTTTCCTTATCATTAGGGTCGAATTTCGACCACTACATGAATACTAGTAATAAAACCATAAAACTAGATCTTACCAACAGCATCTCTAATCCCATACACGCCAGCATCCGTGTGTATGACGTCTACATAGTCTGCGTCTGTTTCTTTCAACCTGCAGTCAGGTTCTATGTGGCTGAAGCAAGGGCCAGCCGGGTCCAGGCCGCTGATCCTCCCCACTCGGAAACCGGTTATGTTCTCGAAGGTTTTACCCGCAAACCCAGATATATGTGCGCCCAAACTGTGACCGATTATGTGGATGTGTTTTGGGTCCTGACCCTCTGGAAAAATAAGATATTTAAGTTAGGAAGTACTCTTCTATTTCAGTAAAGGTACTGAATGTCTCTATTGATTTCTCTACGAAGTTTTCTACTCCGTTTTGTTATGTTTCTCACTGAATTTATTTATTATATGTGCATATAATTATGTCCAACACTAAAATTTGTCTAAGTTCTTTTTAGAACGCAATAGCCACTATACTTTTTTTAGCGTTACATATTTGTTTTTATCTGTTAGACTGGATTATACTTTACTATTTATTTATTGTGCAAATTAATCTGAATTAAAAAAAAACTAAGCTAATTATCGTTTAAATCATTCGACCTATAACTACAGATCGACCTTTATTTTCTAAGCGCTCTCATACCAAGGGGTCAAGTGGCAATTCAATGACCATAATAAAATATAAATAATGACTAAAAATCGCTTGAATACAGTAAATACGATTATATCTGACTAGCTTTTTCTCTTGGCTTTGTCTGTGTCGTTTAATTTAGTAAAATTAGTCCGCTCTATATAGGCGTAGTGTGATCTACTATACATATAATAAAATTTTGAGTCGAATCTATACATTAAATATTTTTTGGAAAATCTTATTGAAGTAGTATTATTATCGATACAGATGCCGATCTATAGTTTTTCGAATTTTTGTCTGTCTACTTGGGAAGGCATCACGAGAAAACTACTGGACAGATTTTGATGAAATTTTGTATGATGATAGATGGTTATCCGAGTCAACATATAGGATACTTTTTATTGCGGAAAAATATCTCGTCTCTGCGAAAAGGGACGAATCCGAGCGGAGCGAGGGTGAGTCGCTAGTCATACTATAATCTTCCTTAATATACCTGCCAAATTTTTTTTTTCAAATTGGACCAGAAGATTCAGAGATAAGCGCCATCTAACAAACAAACTCTTCTTCTTATATATTAGTATAGAAGTATAGGCTAGAGTTTGAAGATATTTATTAAAACCACGTTTAAATTATCCATACAATCTTTGTAATTATGTCGCAATTATGTATTGACGACACCGCAATTACCTTACACTTTGCGTACCGTCCATAGCTGTATCGTAATGTCTATTGAGAATGCAATTATAAGTCGTAACAAAAACGTTCCAGAAGTTTTTCGATAAAAAATATTTTTTTTTCATTTGAATCTTACACGTGGCGAGTAAATGAAGATCTCAACATCATTTTAAATATAACTTCATTTTCTGATTTGGTCGCGGTTATACTCTGCGAATGTCCTTGGCCCGAAAAAAGTTTTTTTTTCTTTTATATGTCAAAACCATTCAAGACGCACCCGAACGAAGCGAAGGTACGTCGCTAGTACTATATACATATCTCTATATATTATAAAACAAAGTCCTCGCTGTGTCTGTCTGTCTGTTCGCGATTTTCATACTGTTTTCACCAATGAATAGAGTGGTTCTCAAGGAAGGTTTTAGTATATAATTTGTTAAGATTTTGTATATATTGGCTTTTAACGGCATAAATTTGGCATATAACGATATTTGTTGGAGGTGTCGGAAAAAAATAAGCCGTCTAAAACCTTTGAGTTATGGCAAAATAATGTATGGTGGAATTGTGTATCTTATATAGGTCTACAGAAAAGTCCACGATGGCATATGTCTATCTCTTAAGGATGACTACTATATTCATTTTAATATAAAACGTACCTAGGAACGAACCCGAGAGAAGCGTTTTAAAAAATCATTTTCGTACTTGATAGTTAAAAATATATTATTTAATTATTGTAATAAAGATATACGTAATATATAAATATTGACCTGCATCTGAAATAAAGTAAAAAATATGGGTGCGTGTTGTGACCGTTACGCGCGGTTGATGTAAAACTTTTTTGGCAAATAGCGCAATTAATTTGTAACAAATCAAAAGCATATTAAGCATATTACAATCATATATTTATAGAATATCATATACGGAAAGTATATAATCTGTATAAATATTATAAAAGTTTGTGAGTATGTATGGATGTTTGTTACTCTCTCACGGCCAGAACGGCTGAACGGATCTGGATGAAATTTGGCACAGAGATAGATTATAGTCTGGAATAACACATAGGCTTTTTATCCCGGAAAAATATACGTTTCCCGAGGAATAGATTTGTTTTTGTTTTTTAGAGGTGAAAGCGAGCGAAGCGAGGGTGAGCCGCTAGTATTATATATTTGACAAATAATAACAATGGTTACCATGACAACATGGCAATGTATTCTATCTCATTCTCTCGCCGGCTTAATCCTATATATTTATGTATTTGTCTCTTTTTAGTCTCGCGTTTTCGTTTCATCGAGTTTCAAATAGTAACGGCTCTAAAGAAGTTTCACTTCAAAAATAAAAATAATATTCTAACAGCATGGAAAAGTAGTATTCAAATTCACTAGCATCTATACCGCCTTCTTCTATCGCGTTATCAGAGTATTTTTTATGAATAAAGGATGTAACAACCGGTTCTGTAACAAACGTGACATGAAATTGCTTCGTAATGGACATGTTTAATGCATGGGCTTGAGTATTATTTAAGTTAATTTAATTATATCTTGTGATGTATAATAAGTTAAAAACGTGTATGCTATTCGCTGTTGTACACGGATTCGTCTACGTTTGGGATAAAAATGGATGTTTTATTTTGCAGAGTCTAGACTGTAAAGATTTAGTTGATAGTTGAATTTTCTATCATAGTTTTTAACTAGCGACTGACTCGCTTCGCTCGGGGGCGTCCTTAGGTTACTTTTAAATTGAAAAAAAATTGTTACTGTAAGTATACTTGTGACACGTTTTTTGCGTGATTTTTAAGGATTTTCGATTATCGCGCTGGGACCCTAAACATTTCCGGAATAAAATATACCCTTTATGTAGCCCTACAAACTCTTCTATCTTTCAGTAAAAGTCTTACAATCGGTTAAGCCTTTCCCAAGATTACCCAGGACCCAAATAACTCTAAGTACTTGAGAAAATATAGTTATTTTGTAATCAAAAACTGACACTTCCATTTTATTTATATGTATAGATTCAATTTAGAAATAATATTAGGTACTTCCGGAATCAAAAAGTTTGCTATCAATCCAACCCATGAACCGTGTCTATTTAAAAAACAAAGAACATTTCAATGTATTATACCGATCCTGCGTAAAAGTTTGTATGTTTCTTATTCTTTGGTGTTGTAACGGTTTGACAGATTTTGATGAAACTTAGTACACACATAGACAACACCTGGAGTAAATAAATAAATATGTTGGGACATTAATACACAGCACTATATAATTCCATGGTAAGCTACGAGGCCTGTGTTATGGATACCAGATAGTTGATACACTACACATAGATAACTTTAAATACATACATATTATAAATATAAAGACCCATAACTGGAGTACAAACATTCGTGCTCATCACACAAATGAATGCCCCCAGCGGGACTCGAACCCGCAACCGCTGGCACAGCAAGTAGGGTCACTACAAATACATAGGTTACAGCTAGACTCCTAGATTTTGAAGAAACTGATTAACAAATATTATTCATTATAGGGCAATACTCACTGTACACCAGACCAGCCAACATCTCTCCCAGTCTTCTTCCAATGAAGCGCACGTACGTGGTGGAGCGCAAGTACAGCCATCTGATGAGCGAGCTGCCGTCCAACGCGATCGTGCTTATGTCGCCTGCCGAAAATTATCACTTTTAAATTTTAAAATATACTTTAGCTTTGATTTTCTAATTGAGATTCTTCTGTACTTTTGTACTCATATATTTGTATATACCTACTCATATATTTATTATAGTTTTTAACCGCGGGTCAGCTCGCGTCGTATGTGCTCACTAGCTTTTATCTACGACACTGCAGTTGGTTGTCGATATGAAGTTCGATTTCTAGACTATTTATCCCTTGTCACTTTTCCCTAAAGGGGTAGTTTTTCAAAAAAAAAAAAACGAAACTCGTGTTTATTTATTTATTGATAGAAGTTTTCATGCAAATTACCTCATTGATATATAAAGCATTTAATACATTGGTCACTAATCGTTATAGAAGTCTTTTCTACAAATAACTAAGCATAGTTAAATTAATATTGCTATATATGCATATATGTACCAACATCAAGTATTATACATTAGATTCCTCTTAGGGGACAGGAGATCACGCGAGTATATTGTAAAACATACGTACTTGTATATCAAAGAAATTAAAAATTATACAGCTTATTCCATTTTACACCTTATAAATTATAATTATTCAAGTATTTTTCTAAAATAATAGCCACTTGAATAAAAAATTAAAATAATTTTTTTATTCACAATTACATACAAAAAATGAGCGGGGGAAATGCGCAAGCGCAGACAATTGATATTCTGTTCACGATCATTTATTTATGCAACCACAATGACTCAATTCTGAGTATTATTTCCTATATGACGATAAACGCTATGAATAGGTTTTCTTCTAATACTGTTTTAATTAAACTGTACTCTGGTTAAGGAGAACTCAGTACATCTTTGTATAGATATGGTTATATTATAACTATAATACTAACATATACTCGCGGCTCTGCCCCCGTAGTTTAAAAATAACAGTATTTCAAGCAAACTTCGAACCCCTTTTTACCCATTTAGGGGATGAATTTTAAAAAACTCTTTGCTATACATAAAATTTCGATGTTTTTACGTTTGAAATATACTGGTATTCTGGCTATCCAACTGGGTTTAGCTACAAGGAAGCTTTCTAAATATACCGCGCGCGTTCTTTTAACCTCTTCAAAATGAGGGTAGGTACTAGGTACCTACTCAACTACCTGATTGGGTTGCATGATTTTTTGTGTATGCTACACGATATCTTTACCAATTGTAACTTGATTTTCATGTTCTTTTTTATAACATTGGCTTCGTCATTGTCCTGGAGCCATTACCTGGTTGTGGCACGACTTTCTTTATCTGCCTCTTTTGTTCTCAGGCAGGCATGAAACTTTTTTTACATAGCTGCTTTTCAAGCAATTTTTGTAATACGCGGAAGAATAGTTAGCAATCGGACTACTATTATATATGCGAAAGTTTGTCTGTCTGTATGTTTGTTACTCCTTCACGCTGAAACAGCTGGACCAACACATAGGCCACTGCATAGGCTACTACTAAATTGCTAGTTATAAATTATATATTTTTACTCACCACTATATAGGAAACTTTCGCTGATGTTAGAGAAGCTTCCTTTGTTTGGATCGTCCGTGAAGCCGTGCACGAATATGATGAGTCTCTCATCTGCCTCGTACTGCCGCGCTTCGCGCAACACGTCCGATGCGAGCGTTATGTTGATGGTTGCTTTAAATGCTCTGTTGGAATTTTAGTATTATATGTACATACGTATATGCTAGCTCATTTAGCTTTCAGGTAATTCTACCTTTTTGGGAATGTAAAATTTACTAATACCTCGACGTCAGTACCATCTACCGGATATATATTTATAATTTTCTCTTTAGTTTCACCCAACATTTGTTAGCCATTTTGGATGCCTATCTGCCGGATTCTAGCAATATTTAAGATAAAAAATGGTCGCATTTTGCTACTTAAAAAGATGTTTTATTAAAATATGTACCGGTTTTAGGTACTAAATTCATCAAAAGTCATCCCATCAAAAACATAACATGTGAAAAAATGCAAGTCTCACAACACAGTTCTTCTACCGCAAGAAGTTGCGAGATGTAATGTAAAACCAAGTCGATTAATTTATTGAGTACCTAGATGTGTGGAAGCATCTATCCAAAAACTTTGTCATAAATTGTTACTTAATTAGTTAAATAACAACATTCTATAGTAAACGTATTAATATTAGATATATTTATTTCTTTAACAAATAGAATAACGTTTAAATGCTTTGCAACAATCATGCTCTATAGAAACAAGTATATCCAAAAATCAAACGTATACCTACTTGCTTTTGTAAACCAATGAGAGGCTGTTAAGATTAGGCTCACTCTCTCCCTGCAGCTGTTCATACGAGACACCCAATAACTTCTTAACATTTTTGCCTGAAAAGATTCAAGTTTTACAAACTTATGCTATTCTATACTAATATTATAAAGAGGTAAAGTTTGTGAGTTTGTGATGTTGTTGGGTGAAATCTCTGGATCTACTGAACCAATTTGGATAAAATTTGGTAAGAAGATAGTTTGAGACCCTGGAAAGGACATAGGAGAATTTTTATCCCGGAAATCATCCCTTAAGGGAGTAAAAATGGGGATGAAAGTTTGTACGGGGAATCAACTTAGGGACGAACCCGAACGAAGCGAGGGTGAGTCGCTAGTATAACATATACATATTCAATATATAAAATCAATTGTATTTTAATAGAGCTGGTGACTTCTATCTAATTGCATACGTTATAGGAAACAGAGGCCGGAAAATCCAGTCTTAGATAATGATCTATTATAAACATTTTTTATAATTTATTTCAATAACTTGTTGTATTTGGACTTGTGGCCTTTTTTTATTTAATGTGAATGAGTACGTCGATCTTAAGATATTTTCTACGCGGCAACTCATAAAGTAGATAGTAATGTAGATAGAGTAGTAATGATCATGCCCCATTAGTTACAGACAAAACATAAAACCTGTATAAATTGGTACCAAATAAAATTTAGATATGTGGGAATTGGGAAATTGCAGGCTATGCCAAAAATACCTAAATGATAAATACTATTTTAAATAAAACTATCTTTTCGGTGTTTTTTGGGGATTTATTTTGTTTTTTGGTTCCCGACGTTTTGAATGCTTTAATAGAAAAAATCGTTCCGTAGTTTTGGAGTTTATCGCGTTAAAACAAACAGACCCGGAGGGGAACTTTGTTTCATAAATATTTCGTGATAAACAAATCTTACACTGCGAAGATCCCACGAATGCAATAGTTTCATCAATAGGCTGTTTGACTGTTTGAATCTCCTTCTGTATCCCCTGTCCGATGAACTCTACGATGTTAGTGTCGTTTTTCATCTGTGCACCCGCAGTCGCGTACATCAATATGTACGACACCAGCAGGGAGAAAAGGCCCCTCATCTCGAACACGTTCTGCTCAACAGTGCTTTGTTATTTTAATCTAGTTTTTAATGTTGTTTAAAATATTATTATTTTTATAAAATACAAATATTCTTTATAGCGCACCACAAAAATTAACTTGACATAGTAATTAGATAAAAGCAAAAATAGCAGAACGGACGCCCTTATCACTAAGTAAGTGATCTATCCAGACAACCTTTGGGCAGAGAGGAAGAAAAAGACTGGGAAGAAATGCAATCAAAAGATTTTTATACAAAATAAAAGAAAAAATATATAAATAATAATATATTATTATTAGTATAAATAATTATTATATAATTTCTTACGTGTGACTTAAAATATTACAAACGAAAACAACAAAACAAAAAGCTGTCAGAAGCGGAGCAATGATGATCACTCTCAGTTTGTATAACTAATGTTACCAGTATACAGTAATTTATTTAGCCCTTTTTAAAGTCCCAGTGCTGGGCACGGACCTCCCTACAATACGAGGAAAGTAAGGAAAAAATGTTAATATATAAATAAAAAAAAAACAAAGTGAAAAGCCTCTAATGCAGAACGCCAACCATCTTGAGGAGTACAATAAAAAAATCCTAATTAAATAAAAATGCATACACCTTAAGTATTATATTTTGTTTGTTTGTGGGAAAAGCAGTAAACTATCATATACTATATTAAAAAATACAAGTATTTGAAAAAAATGACGTCTTCACGTTATCTTATATTTATCAAGGGCACACGTGGTTAAAGAACAGCTAACTTAGTTTAAGAGCCCCCGCAGATTGTATACTTTCTATCTTTCTTCACACTAATGGAGAAGAATGAACCTAACAAAACAATTACAGCGAGTTCACACGTTGAGGCTTACTGAATCGATTTTCATATAAGGTTTCCAGTGGCGTATGCCAACATGTGGATTTTTTCAAACCGTACGGCACAACCTGGAGCCGATTACTTTATTTGGCAACCGAAGTGATATTGCTCCTACATTAGTCGATAGAAAGTCTACAGTGTGCGAGGCAGTTAGCGCTGGAAACCAAACAATAAAGCATGTCCTGCAAACGTTCACAAAAACACACAAACACACACACTTTACCCTGCACTCACATTATCAGCAACACCACTGTACTGATACAGTAAATTCTCGCCGTTTATTTCCTCCATTTTTGCTGTAAATTTTATCGAGCTATTACATATTATTATTTACAAAAAACTTTTCATAGACATATACATGTTTTTTTTTATTCTAAAGCCTTGTGACCTTCTTGTGAATACAATCAATATTAAAATAATAATATTTGTTACCTTGTTCCTAATCAGATTATTTTCCTACGGGAAGCGAGCGAGTATTCCTTTTACGAAGTTTTATAAAAAAATTGCTAAACCATGTCTACCTTATAACTTGTTCAACGCTTTTTATTATACGAGTAGTTTTGTAACACTATACAAATCTAATTCAGTATGATTATTTATAGTTGTTTAACTATAGACTACCCTCAAAAACCCACACAATATCTTTATTTTCATAATGGGGATACAGTTTGAGTATATAATATTTTTAAATATTTTATTGCACAAAAATATCGCAAAATATTTGTAATAACTAAAAAGATGTCACAATTCTGACAAAGAAGTTTATAATTGTATAAAATTAGATTAATCTTCTAAATAATCAGCAACTTGGCAGAATGTTTCGCACTCATTGACATTATTCTCAGTTATTAAAGAAAAAAGGCAGTAGCAGTCGTTCTTTGGGAAACTGAGTTAAGCGTTCAAATCCCAGAAATCACACCTTTGATGGTTCCAACATGATTACAGTGCACATCGTGAGGAAACCTGCGTGTCTGAGAGAACCTAGCAAGTTTTTGAAAGAATTATTGTTTGGCTTCATGTTTAGTTCTGACACTGTGTATTAGTAGATTACTCCTTAGTCTTATTTAGATGTTCATTCACATCTTAGTTGATCATTATTCTAAAAGTGATGTTCAAATAAAAATAAACCCGGGTTTTTATCGTGACATGTGGTTGTGATTACAGATTACTTATGCTACGAGTACCTACGTGTAACGTGTATTTTTGTAAAAAAAGTGCTTGTTGCAAAGCTTTACTGTTAGTTTTTACGTTAATATAATAAAATAGCTTTTATCCGCGACTCTGTACATATATTTATTTTTATTGTACGACTAGCGACTCCCTCTCGCTTCGCTCGGGTTCATCCCTAGATACGTTTTAATTTTTTTGAGCGTAACCCTTATTATTTTGTTAAAATAAAAGTAGCCTATGTTACTCCCTATAGCATCAGCTATTTTCCAGTGAAAGTCCCATCAAAATCAGTCCAGCCGTTTCAGAGATTATCCGGAACAAACAGACAGACAGACAGACAGACAGACAAACAGACAGACAAAAATTTAACAATATGTGTTTTTTCCGCCAGAGTAAATTCAATAAAAACTTTGATATTACTAGTTCGAGCTTTAGTAACCAATTTGATAGTGTACACAGCTATTTTAAAATCATAGTTTAATTTTAATAATTATATTTAATGAAAAAGTAATATAAATATTCACCTAAAATCTAGATCAAATCCACTATAGATATAGCCTCTAAGGAAACCAATAACTATACTTGGCCCGACACGGGACTCGAATCCAAGAACGAATATGCAAGCCGCCAGCTAGACTAACGAATCAGTTCAATGCAATTAATATATGTACATGTGTATTGTGTCTTTTGCACAACTCAACGTGCACAGTATTTGTTTCTTGTTGTGATTAAAGGTAACCTCTAGTAACTCTCTAGGGTGCATCTTATGTCTTTGCTAAATTATATCAAAATCTGTTCAGCGGCTTCTGTGTGAAAAGGTATAATATAAAAAAATATAGATTATACATTATTAATGTTATTAAAGGAAGTTTGTACGTTATAGAATGAGTGGAACGAGGGCGCTCTCATGTACATATGTATATATGCTTATTGTTTATCAATATACTTAATTATACACGTTCTTTAACAGGGTTGCTCACATTTGAAAGAGGTCGCTCCATCCTAAGGTCAGTGTGGACCGAGGTGAACTACATGTCGGTTTTATAGGAAGTTGATAATATAATGGTATTAAAATTATGTATGTAAAGAAATTATAGAAGATCTAGTCTTCCTACATATCCAATGCCACTGCGCATGGTGTTTTGGTACATAGCAACCTGGACTTTATGATCTATTTTCCACAATCTATTTTGCATGTTGCCATAGCTTGTTCTTAGATACAATATTTATTTGGTAAGCAAGTAATAATTCATACATGTACAATTATTATCTAAAAGCGATTTTTTTTTGAGGATTTCGTTGCTTAAAATCAATAATGCTTAAAATCAGTTAAAATCAATATTAAAAACTTAGGTCCACAGATTCTTGCTAAAAATAATGTTCAAGACAATAAAAAATACGGCCATTTATGTTGTTTATTTTGACTCTGGCAAGTAAATCAAAACCGTTCCGTTGCTCTAGAATCTTTAAATATGGCAAGAAGCAAGGTCTGCAAGGTTACTCAAAGTTCAAGTTTCAAAGAAAATGTTTCATCTCGTAAGTAGATGTGTGAAGAAATATGGTCCATGTAGTGTGGTCCATGTATTATATTCCGCCATTTTTAACGTCCCTCTGCTGGAGGGCCTTCTTTTAATAGGAGGAAGATCAGGCCATAGTCCACCACGCTGGCCAAGTGTTGATTGGCGACTTCACATATATTTCGAAAACACGATATTTTCCTTCACTGTAAAGCAAGTGGTAACCATGTAGAAAATAATTCGTACATAAAAATATCAGAGGTGCGAGAACCCGGATTTGAATCCTTTTCAATTGGTTTTCCAAGGAAGTGATTTAATACCACTGCACTTGATGACTACCTATACTTTAGAGTTTAGATCTTCCCCTATTATTATTGTACATAAAATACTATATAAATTATAACTTGTATAAGTTATCTAAACATATATGTTCCTTATTTATAATTCTTGAAGATATATTACATAGATATGTATGTATGTAGATAGATTCAGTGATAATTTTGTTTTTTATGCCTTAACACTATTCCTCTTAAGGTCACTATTCTCATTGTCAATAACAAATAAATAAAATGACTCTATTATAGTTACTACTAGTTTAACTGTCTCGGTGTGTGTGGTGCTGTAGTGGCTAGCATGTACGGCTGCACATCCGGAGTTCCCGGGTTCGAGCCCCAGATCGGGCTAACTTTAGTTATTAAATGTTTCTATTTAAAAAGTCCCAGTAAAAGCAGTGAGTTGGGAAGTTGGTGGTGTTTCACTCCCGTGTCTTTTAGAGTATGTACGTATGTATGTAAGGCTGTCGGTTCACTGGTGGTGTCGAGTTGTCGTCCCATCAGAGATGGAATATCTCCTGGGCAGTTGGCTAGTCTCAGTGAGATTGGTCGCCGTGGCCAAAATTGCCCAGGACATTAGTAGTGTAACCCACGTCTGCGGAAGTGTTTATAAAGTCACCTAACAAGCTCTGACTTCTATTAAAGTAATTATATTGGATCATTTATTACCCGAGTGAAAGGAAAGGGTTATGTTTTTCGCGCCTATCTTTGTATGTTTGTTTGTAATATTCTTTATTCCCTCATATCTTCCATACAACTCGATGGATTTCTATAATTAGGTATCGTTAGATTTGTCTCATTAGTCCAAGTGTTCTTAGATAGTTGACATAAAAAAATGGGGGCATCTTGATTTCATTGTTTAAGGTGATTTTGTTAATCTTCTTTTTCTGCAATATGGGTATCAAATTAAAGGGCTCATAACAACAACAACAAGGATTCCAAAATCGTATAAAATCCCTGTATTATTCATTTTAAATAACAGTTTAGATTATAATGTTTTAAAGTTATAACGAGTATGTATGTACATCTCGCGTGAAGGATGAAACGTGTATGTCTCCGACTGCAAAATACTATATTCCTTCATCAACTTATTTCCATCTTTTTAGTTAGCTTTTATGCAGTCGGGTTTTTATTTTGTAATATATTTATTATTATGAAATGTGATCTTCATTATTATAGAGCTTATTATAAATATTATAGTGAGTTTGTTATTTCTCCATCTTTTTGACCGACTTCGAAAGGAGGAAGTACTTGTCTGTATATTTTGTGTGAGTCAACTTTTTTTTAGTTATTGACGAGTATTGTGTTGTCAGTAAAAAAAATTGGAAATAGTTGTTTTTATATGTATATAAATTCTATACGTATATGTTTTCCTCAAATTTTCAATAATGATTACGGTCGAATTTTCACCACTGAGCGAACATAAGTTCTTTTTAATGTACAGTTAAAGAGCTTGAGGGACGCATTTGAACAAATGAAATAATACTTTACTCCTAAGTGTAGAATAATTGCTTTGAAGTATGTTTGGAGTCTCATGTTTTTGTAAATCATAATTTTTGTTTATTCGTACAACTCAAGCAATAGAATGTTGTTTTATTGCGTTTTAACGTTTAGTATAGATTTCTCAGAGATGAGATATTTTCCCGCAGTAAAAGGTATCCTACATGTTAACCCGGATAACCAGCTATCATAATACCAAATTTCATCAAAATTCCTCCAGTGGTTTTTCTGTGATGCGGTAAGCAACAGACAGACAGACAGACAAAAATTTTAAAAACTATAGATTCGGCCACTGTATCGATAATATTATTTCAATAATATTTTCCAAAAAAAAAAATTTGATGCACAGATTCGACTCAGTTACAATTTTAATATGATTTACGGTCTTTTTTATGCCTTACTAATAATTTATTTTCAATTTAATAAGATTTTAATGTATATAATATATAATTACGCCTTTTTTGTTGCAGGTCCGAGATTTACAAAGGATTTACCTTCTTGCATATTATAATTATTTTATTTTACCGATCTCCTTCGTGTCCTTTCCATTCTACGTGACCTTGGAGAAGTAATCTGTGTCCAACTGCCACGCTTTGAAGCTACTGACGAGGGAATAGAATTTTTTTTTGGTACATATACCTTGAGTAATATTAGAAATGTATGTGAGTTTTGACGTCTCAAATATTGGCGTTGTACGACACACGCTTAGAAAATTGAAAAGGTTTTCTATCTATCTATATATACTTTTAAGCTACTATGTGACCCGAAACACGTTGTAATATGTCCAAAATTCAATAAAGTTTATGATATTTGAGTTAATACAAAAATCTCATAGAACTTTTACGTGTCCCGACTACAAATATTTTATTTTGAAATCCATGAAATACTTTCTGCATATTGCAAAAACTTCACAATTATTTCAGCCCTTAGTCTACTTTGGGAACTGGGATGGTATCTGTCTATATTAGGGTTGGCAGGACCCGTAAGATATAACGTGTTCTCTATTAAAAACAAATTGACGATATTGCGAATTTTTAAAATAAAAAAATATCTTAAATAAAAATATTAAGGCCATTAAAGGTTGGCCTGATAACCCTGAGGTCAATTTACGAGAACCAAACAATAGGGTTATCTTAATTTCCTCGAGTACTATCTATCAGTATAGATTTTTTAAAGACAAAATGACAGTTGTATTATAATTAACTAGCGATTCACCCTCGCTCCATATTTATGTGTGAACGTTTAGTATAGATTTCTCAGAGATGAGATATTTTCCCGCAGTAAAAAGTATCCTATATGTTGACCCGAATAACCAGCTATCATCATACCAAATTCCATCAAAATCTCTCCAGACAAAAAGACAGACAAGCAAAAATTTTAAAAGCTATAGATTCGGCCTCTGTAGCGATAATAATGGCTATTTCAATAAGATTTTCCAAAAAATATTGAATGTGCAGATTCGACTCAGAATTTTATTATACATATGTATAGATAAGCAAATGATTAAATGTTCCTTAGAATGTCATAGATTGTCATCTTGTTATGGCTTTTTGATTGCTCTAATGTAAAAACGGTAATATATTATTATAATAAAATTGTTAAAGAAAAATAACTTAATGGGAAATCCTTATATAACGCAAATATAACTATAATATAATTATTACTATATATCTATACTAATATTATAAAGAAGTAAAGTTTGTGAGTTTGTGACGTTGTAGGGGGTAATCTCTGGATCTATTGAACCGATTTAGATGAAATTTGGTAAGAAGATAGTTTGAGACCTTTTTATTCTAGGAATCGTCCCTTAACGGGGTGAAAATGGGGATGAAAGTGTGTATGGGGAATCAATCATAATATAAATATAACTTTAATATTATTACAATATTTTGTAGGGACCCTTTCGTTATAAGCGACTTACCTTTGACCGATTTTTCTATATAAAAAGAGGAATACTCGCTTAGTACTTTAAAGTTAAAACTATACTATTATTATTATTAGTCTCTATGAAAAGAACTGGATGAAGAAATTCAAAGAGAACTAAAAATAAACGAAAGAAAGTTATATTTGGATGAATTTCTAATAGTAATATATACAGGTGTTTGTTTTTCTGTTTCTATTATAGTTTTATGAATACGATACGAGCCGTTGGTAGATTGCTTACGGACGTACATACTGACATTTAATTTAAATTTTGAAAATGCAAAATTAACGATTCAAAAGTGCTTGTAAAAGTCTATTTGAATAGAGTATATTTTTTTTTGAATAATTATTTTATTGAAAAAAAGTGGTTTTAATAACAAAAAAAAATGTTATTCAAAACAAACAACTTTGGATTATTGAGGAAAATGAAATTATGAGTTTATTATCTCAGGTCTATTACAATAGATGTAAAGAACAACAGATAAAACTGATTTGTAATTAATAATTAAATTTAATTAGTTTTTACTTAATTAGTGTTCAGGAATATTTTTTTTTATTAAATTATAGTACTATTTGCGGAGAGTATTTTTTATATAGGTTTTAATGCAATAGACATAATGAATATATAAAAAAATATATATATCAATAAAAAACGATCATTCAATTAAGATAAAAAAAAGTAAATTTAAATTAAAAAAAATTATCTATATAATTAATGAAAAAAAAATGTTTTTTTCAAGCTCTGTATAAAAGATTTGTTTTGTTATTAAATTAAAACTACTAATAAAAAGATTATTTAAACTTACATTTTGTCCGCCCTTACACGCTGTCCACACAAACCTACACAATCTACTGAAGCAAAATACGTCCTTACGCTGTTTATATAAAACATTAAGTACAAAAATATACGATAGGCGGAGCAGGTTTTTAACTTGAGTTTTGTTGTGCAAACAACATCAATTAGGGTTTAGTTCAATGCCTTGAGAAAATGGGCTTCCAGCGCTTCCTACTGGCACAGTCGGATTTAGAGAAGGGCAATCAGATCAAAGATAAAGGCAGTGGTAGCCCAGTGGTAACGTGTTCGCTTGGGAAACCGAGTGAAGCGGGTTCAAATCCCGGGTCTCGCACCTCTGATATTTTCATGTGCGAATCATTTCTAACATGATTACCATTTGCCTCACGGTGAAAGAAAACATGGTGAGGAAACCTGCATGTTTGAGAGAACCTAGCAAGTTTTCGAAAGACATGTGAAGTCCGCCAATCCGCACTTGGCCAGCGTGGTGGACTACGGCCTGATCCCCCTCGTATGAAGGGAGGCCCGTGCCCAGCAGTGGGACGTTAAAAGGGCTGAATACAATCAGATCAAGAGGAACACATAATGCCGTCTTAGATTTACATGAATATTTGACATCTACACTAATATTATAGAGAGGTAAATTCAGTATGGGGTATTCTCTGAAATTACTCATCGGATTCTAAAACTTCTCTCCACTAATAGGAAGCTACATTACCGGCGAATGCATTATTTGATCCTATCCTCGTTTCGCTCAGGTTCGTTCCTAGTGAAAAACAAAAACAGACATATCCCACGGGACCCGTACATTTTTCGGGATAAAAAAATAACCTATGAGCTATTCCAGACTAATCTATCTCTGTGCCAAATTTCATGCAGATCCGTTCAGCCGTTCTGGCGTAATTGAGTAACAAACATCCATCCATTCAAACTTTCGCATTTATATAGAAAGAGTAAGATGACGTTGATATGATTAAGAAATTTAAAAGTAAGCACAGGACAATTAAAGGCCATACTATTGCACAGACATTCAAAGTTTTTGTGTCTTTCCTTGTAATTTAATTTACGACCATACTATTAATTCCACATAAAAACGAATTTAGAACACCTTTAAATTTCCATTGTGGAGTGGGTGTGAATTTTGAAAAATGCTAAAACACGTATTTATTTAATTTTATTATAGAGCATCAATACCAAGTTTCAAGTAATTCTGATCTTAAATATATTTTTTTGGTTGTATTATAACGTGTTTTCCCATGAGAATGAGGTAATCCCCCGCGGTAAAAAGTAGCCTATGTCACTCTCCAGCACTCCAATTATCTCCACACAAAAAGTCACGCCAATCCGTCACTCCCGTTTTGACGTGAAAGAAGGACAAACAAACAAACACACTTTCACATTTATAATATTAACTTAGTATGGATATAGTATTGAAATGGAGTTCTCTTGCACTTTCCAGCATATAAGTTAATTTATCTGTACTTAAAGATATTTTGTATTTCATACATAACCCGATATAGACGAAATTGTAAATAAGTGCATTAATATATGATGTGAAATTCCCAATGATAGTGAAACGAGTTGGGTAATAATTGCGATAAGATGGTATAAGCTACTGACGCGGTTAATTAGCCCTACGTACAGTTTATGGTCCTCGAATGTCTGTTAGTTTGTAACATATCTGTCTCGCGGCTTTCCATAAAAAAAAATCCATATAATAAGCCATCTAGTTCCTAGTAACCACAACATAAATTGCATCAAAACTTTCTTAGATTTACGCGAATATTTTTAATAGAAACAAAAACTTTTTTACAGACGTCTGTAATAATTCAGAAAATACGTCAGTTACGTAAATACGCCCCATTAGTTAAAATTATGTTTTTATACTATTTGCTATAGAAACCCTTGGCAAGTGGTGTCAAAGTGGTAAGCACTTCTTAAAAGACCTAACACCTCTACTGGTGACAGGAGAGCTGGCGCATTTTCGCCAAAAGAATCGGCATTGCCATTCAACGGGGGAATGCGGCTAGCATTGTTGCCACTATTCCACGCGGACATGACTTGCACAGACAGTAATAACTAAGTGTACATAATTAAGTATATTTCTAATTTTCTTAATGTAAACTAGCGAATCACCCTCGCTTCGCTCGGGTACATTTTATTTTTTTGAGCGGAACCCCAATTCTTTTACTGAAATAAAAGTCGCCCAAGTTACTCCTTATAATATCAACTACCTGCCAGTGAAAGTCCCGACAAAATCGGCACAGCCGTTTCGGAGATTACCCGGAACAAACAGACAGACAGACAAAATTTAAAAAAAATGTGTTTTTCTTATAAATACCGTATATTATTCCATATGCATTTAGTAATAAACTGTTATTTTGACATTACAAACAGACATTTCAATTTTATTTATCTGTATAGATAAATTCAGAAAATTGTGACGTCGAATACTCTTTTTGAGACGTCGTGTGACGTCGTGAATTGAAAAACAAAATAAAACGCAAAATTTATAAAAATAGTTTTAATCAAAATCAAAATTTCAAAACTATTGATAAAAAATAAACGCAGTAAGATATCAACCAGCTCAATGATATTGTTTAGAGTAGATATTCCTTTTTTTAGGGTTTCGTACCCGAGGGTGTTAACGGAACGTCCGTCCGTCAGTCCGTCTGTCGGAGGGCTGTATCTTATGAACCGTAATAGTTAGAGAGTTGAAATTTTTACAGAGTGTATATTTTTATTGCTGCTATAACAACAAATAATAAAAAACCAAGATGGCGAATTTCAAAAAGGCTGTTAAGCGAATTTTAAAAAATCAATTATGGACCGGAACCCTTCGTGTGCGAATCCGACTACCACTTGTCCGTTTTTTTTTTAAATCCGCCAATTCACAGAAACAATTTTTTACAACGTAGTCATTGTCGAAGTTGATTAAAAATCATTTCCCGGATTTAGTTTATAAGTAATATGACGTCGAGCTTTCTTAGAAGATATACGACAATGCCGATCAGGTACAGCCTTGAAAATCATTGTTACTATAATAACGTACATTCACTACTTGTCGGTCTGTCGTAGAAACGTATAAGTCCGTTATAACATGTTGAATTATACAAGTTTATTTATGCAGACATTAGTATATTATGACATTAATTTATTTGATACTAGCATTGCCCGCGGCTCCGCCCGCGTTCAGATGACCAAAAACCAAATTCTTAGGTTTTACATATTAGTATACTCTTACATTGCAGTTTTCACATTTTTTCTTAGAAATGAGCCATTTTCCTACGGTAAAAAGTATCCTATATGTTGACCCGGATAACCAGCTATCACCATACCAAATTTCATCAAAATCCCTCCAGTGATTTTTCTGTGATGCGGTCACAGACAGACAAAAATTCTAAAAACTATAGATTCGGCCTCTGTATCGATAATAATGTTTATTTCAATAAGATTTTTCAAACAATATTTAATGTACAGATTCGGATTAGTTACTATTTTATTATATGTATAGACTAGCGACTTACCGTCGGTTTAGGTAGGTTCATTCCCCATGACTGTGGAGCAACCCCATGGTTGTGGTGGTCTGCTTTGGCAGACCTGCCGTCGGGGCGTCGTAGTTGAATGCGTAAGCGATCTTGCGACGCCCCATTAAGACGGGGGAAGGTTTTGTTGGGTTTTAGTGGGTAGTACTGGCTGTATTACGCCGGTGAGTCCCACACGTCGTGCGTAAATGCATTTCCCAACGTTAAAAAAAAAAAAAGGTTCATTCCCCATGCCCCCCAACGTGCGTTCACCTTGTCGTGGTGGGGGGGCTCAGTAGTGCCCGGCAACCCAACCGGGCGCGAAGCCAAGAAACGCACAGGGAGGTGGCCCACTTCGGTGGGCGGTAGGAGGTGGCCCTCTTCGGAGGGCAGTGTACCATGCGGGTTGCTCCTGGTACTTCTCTGATAGCAGAGTGGACTGTGGAGCAACCCCGTGGTTGTTGTGGTCTGCTTTAGCAGACTTGCCGTCGGGGCGTCGTAGTTGAATGCGTAAGCGATCCTGCGTCGCCCCATTAAGACGGGGGAAGGTTTCGTTGGGTTTTAGTGGGTAGTACTGGCTTTGCCGGTGAGTCCCACACCTCGTGCGTAAATGCATTTCCCAACGTTAAAAAAAAAAAAAATTTCATTCCCCATACCAAATTTCATCCTCATTTTCACCCGCTTAGCGGATGATTTCCAGGATAAAAACTATCCTATGTCCTTCCCAAGGTCTCAAGCTATGTTCTTACCTAATTTATCTAAAACGGTTCAGTAGTTTCGGGGCCTATTCTGTACAAACAAACAAATAAAAAATCAAGACGTTCCTCTTTATAATATTAGTATAGAAGTATGTACAGATAATTGGCCAATGGCCATTAATAATATTATACAATCGAAAATATTTTAAATATAATATGAAAATAAAAAAAAACATTATATTTGACAGATTTCTTTGTATGCTTATAAATATATTAGATGTATTTTCACTGCCTAATGATTAATCTATACAGATAAATAAAATTGAAGTGTCTGTGTGTAATGTCAAAATCAACAACCTTTTACTAAATGCAAATAATAAAAATCAAACAGCATTTTACTAAATGCATATGAAAGTTTATATAGTGCCTACTTATAAGATTTTTTTTTAATTTGTGTCCGTCTGTTTGTTCCGGTCAATCTCTGAAACGGTTGGACCGATTTGGATGGGACTTTCACTGGCAGATAGTTGATGTTATATGGAGTAACTTAGGCTACTTTTTTTTAGAAAAAGAATCAGGGTTCCGCGCAAAAAAATTAAAACCCATGAAATTGTGATTAAAATTCATGTACCTACCTAGGAATCGAATTCAGGATTCAAACGATATTTTTTTGTATACATACAACGATGTAAATATGTGTATCTTTATATAACATAAATGTAACAAGTAAGTGTTCTACTGTATCTTGATTTACCAGGATTAGAAGTCCACCCAAGTTCAACCCATGTCACTAAGAGATTATGCATTACTATAACTTCCTATTTGTGCAGGAATCTTTAAAATCGGATTTGTAATTCTGGATACTTCACAGTCTCATTGGTCTAGTTCGGCCAAAATAGTTATAGTATGGGGTTTTCTGTCACGAAATATTCAGTAGAAACACGTAGTCGGGAAGTTAAAGGTGTGCACACGACTTTGTCGAGGCAGTCGGTCCTGCGTCTTATACTTACACACCAACAACAATGTCGAGTTCTTGTCCCATCAGAATATGAGAGTTGAATGTATAGACAGGGTATCCCAAACTCTTTTTGTTGAGCCTCCTCCGGATTACAAAGTGTGTAGTGTTTGTGTATTTAATGTGTAATGAGTTGTCTCGGGTGCACGGGTAGGGGATTGACACTTGACAGTTACGTGAGAGCTGAGGCGGTGCGAGCGTACGTGTCCATCCTGCATACTGGTGACCAAACGAGCCAAACAGTGTTTACTTGTATTTTTATGCAAACACTACACAAAGTATTCTTTTAGTATGATAAAACACATTATTTTAACAATTTTTGTTTATTTTAATTTTAAGATTTACAAAATAAACTTTTTCTACGCCCCCCTAGAGGGGAATTCCTGGTTGGGCATTCCTGGTATAGAGAGTGAACAACCTATATCCCGCGCAGTTGGCTACATTAAGTTAGGTTTGGTCGCCATAACCCAGCTATACCCAACCTGCGGCCCGCGGGCCGCATGCGGCAGCATCAAAAATCGCATTATAACATATCTTTGTTAAAACAGTAACTACATCGTTAACTTGGAATTACGTTTTCATTAAGACCTAAATAATTTTTGCTTGCGGCCCTCGACACCATGACTGAAACGTGTTTGTGGCTCCTATAAAAAAAAGGTTCAGTATGGCTGCATTAACCGAAATCGGTTAGGAGGACATTATTAAATATTTATGGATATCATGATTTTTTCATTCTACCTAGTGACATATGCTTGTGGTCTTTAAATGATAAAAAATAAGTAACATAGGTACATTTATTTCATAAAAATATGGGAATAAGTCAATAAATGGTGTTTTGCCCCGACTTGTTGCCGACTACCATTTTTAATCGAAGTAAACGACTCATATAATGTAAACAGCGCCATCTATAAATACACACAACAAACTTGTTACTAAATTATGAATAAATAATTTTAAAAAATACAGAAATTTTATTTAATAATGCACAATATAATTTTCCTTTCTTTTTGAGTTTTTGTTTGGAATAAAATACTCTACATAAAATAACTGGATAACAATTTTATATACGATACATAAAACGCCATCTAATGTCATTTCTTTGAACTATTTTTTTTCCTTAAAAGATCCCAAAATTTACATTGGGTTTTCCAAACCTATATTTTATTCAAATCACGCCAAATTAGGCGTGTAAGTTTTAAATTTTATTGTCATCCATTGAATTTGAATAGCTTATTTATATTCTAATACTTATTTAAGTTTAAATATTGTAGGATGTCACTTATTCCTTGGATTTATTCTTATATTTAGTACTTTTGCATCCTCAACTTAATTTTTTTTATAAGCTACGTCTGTCCGTGAGGTAGCTACCACCGGCTCGGAAAGCAGTTCTGCTGCGAAGAGCCGGCGAGAAACTCAACAGGTACTCTTTTTTTAAATAATGAGTTACATAATTTATAACAATAATTTACAGTATTACAAATAATCCATGATGGTACCGACATCTCTGTTAAAAAGCGCGGGAAACAAAATGAATATCTGCGTCCTTTTTTAAATACCTTCCTATCGGCCAAGGTTACAATAAACAATTAAATAAATGAGAACAAATAAAACAAATAAATAATTTATACATAAATCATTACAAATGAATCAAATATATTATTTTTCATGAAAACGATCATAAATCTAGACGTAAAATATGAATTGAAAATAAAATAATATTACACAAATAAAAAGTCAATCTCATGCGAATTTTTTATTTTCTACATTTGAGGTATATCGATGATAACTGATTAACTAAATCATACATCTTTGCTAATACTTTTAAATATTTTCAATGATCCTCACAAATATTTATCAATTTTCTATAAGCATTGAGGCTGTTATAAAATAAGATTATATTTATAAAATCTATGCACATATTGTTGTATTAAAAAAAACATATTTTTTTCTAATACATTTTTTAAAATTTTTTGAAATACATTAAGTATATACATAATGAAATACATAATGTATATAAAAATGACAATCACTATTTCTAGCCTATTTTACTACAGACGAGAGATTTTAGATATTAAATGAATCCAACAAAACTAAACGTGACAATGTAATAAATATTAACAATATTTTATTTTAAAATCAATTAAATTTTCAAATGATTTTGACACATACCTACATTTATCTCACTTACCATAACATATTATAAATAGTAATTAGTAATGGCACTTATTTTTAAGTAGTAAAACCTACAAGGTATTTAATATAATTTTAAAGTATATTAAGGCTACATCATTGATATATAAACATAGATACACATTTCCTAACAAATATTATAATATAATAGATCTCACCTTCGCTTCGCTCGTGTTCGTCCCTAGGTACGTTTTAAATTAAAATGGATATAGTATGTTATCTTTAAGACATAGACATATGCCATCGCGGACTTTTGTGTAGATCTATATAAGATACACAATTCCACCATACATTATTTTGTGTATCTCAAAGGGTTTAGGAAGCGTTTTCGTTGAAAGCTCCCAGACGGAAATTTTATTCCGACACCTCCAACAAATATTGTTATATTTTAGCCAATGTGTACAAAAATTTAATAAATTACTAAAAGCTTCCTCTTGAATCACTATCTATTAAAGAAAATCCGCATCAATATCCGTTACGTAATTTTAAAGATCTAAGCATACATAGGGACAGACAGACAGCGGGAAGCGACTTCGTTTTATACTATGTAGTGATATAATAGTTATTTGTATACTATTTTAAAACGTTATTGTTTGGCTTCATGTTTAGTTCTATGATACTCTGTCTATATTACTCCTTAGTCTGAGTGCACCTATTGGTGAATCCCAGATTTTCCTAAGGGCCTATGGGTTCTTACAAACGCGCGTTTCATTGCACGTCGAACGCACGTTTTGACCGACTCCAAAAAGGGGCAATGTTATGTGGTATCATTGGCAATTGTGAAAGGATTTTTTATATACACAACAAAGGCGAACATATAAAATGTGCATAGGTCCTTACCAGTGGACAATCTGTTCTCTTTACTCTGTGGCAATAGTTTAGGCCAGCGGTTCCCAATTTTATTTGGCCACGGAACCCTAATTGATCATAATTTTTTTAACGTATCGCCATTTTGATAATAACTAAACTGATTGTGCTGTAGTAAGAGTATTTTGTTGTTGGACTTGAAACAACAAATCATAAATGAAAAATGTTAATACTTATTGTAATATTTATTGTACCAAAAATATAACCTATTTAATGTGATGAATGACTTTCTTACACATATAATATATTATATAAATAATAATAGCATTAAAATTAGACTTCATGTCTGACAATGTTTTATTTAAATCTCGGATGGTACTCAGAACCCCTGTGACCCTTCCACGGAACCCTAGGACTCCGCGACCACCATTTGGGAGCCGCTGACTTTAGTATGTAATTTGTAAATAATGAACTCAGGTAATAGTGCTAATGCTTTTGTCAGATGGCACGTAGTTGTCGCAAAGTGCTGCGACATGACACTCGTCGGGAACCGAACCTGGGGAACCCCGTGATGCGTTCCACCTTCACTGGAGCTTCTCGTCTGGAAAGTGTCAGATAAGCCTTATAATTTATAGTTTTTCTACTTGTTCTAATTGGATAACGTCGATTATCCTGAGATTGCGTATTACCGACTGGTTCATGCACATCAGGTGGATCTACGTCAAAAAATTCATCATCGGAAATTTCATTATTTAAGTCCGGTGTCACCTTCGCATCACCAACCTCTTTATCTGTGCCACAGGACGCGGTATCTTTTGTTTCTAAAATATGATTTTCATTTACGTAATCTCCAATGGAACTTATATCGTTATCCGATGATGAACTTCCTTTATACATCCATAATTGGTCGACATGCTTTTTTGTAAAAAGATTAAACTCCGGTATGTAAACTTTAAACATACGAGAACCGATACAACTATTAATAACACCTACTTTCCATGTGCTATATTGCTTATTGCCAATAGAATAATAATGTTTTACAAGTACCTTATCACCAACTACAAATTTTACATTTCTTTTACCTTTAAATTGCTTACTTTGATGCATCTGAGCATTACTAACATTATCTCTAGCAACAGATGACGAAGGAAAACAAACAGGTAGTTTTGTACAATCACGAATTAAATCCAGTCGACAACGTAGAGGTCGTCCAAACATTAATTGAGCAGGCGAAAATCCAGTTGTTAAATTTACAGAATTCCTATAATCGAATAAAAACTTATGCATTTTAATCATTAAGTTACTGAAACTCATATCATTAGTTACAATGGCCTTTAAGCCGCTCTTAATTGTTTTGACGCTTACCTCCGCTTGTCCATTTGACTGGGGGTGGTAAGGAGGACTAGTTAAATGCTCAATACCATTTAATCGACAAAAAACCTCAAAATCATTAGAACAAAAATTCGTAGCATTATCAGTTACTAAAGTCCGTACTAATCCAAATCTGCTAAACATTTCACTTATATTACTAATAACTGACTCAGTATCAATCTTTTTCATATAAAAACATTCTAACCACTTAGAAAATGCATCAACTGCGATCAAAAATTGTTTTCCATTAAATAAGAATACATCTAAATGAACACGTTCCCAAGGGCCTTTAGGATAAGGCCAAGATGCAAGTGGCGCATGTGGAGGGTTACTTCTATGCGAGTTGCAAACCTTACAAGAACCAATATTTTCTTCAATATTTCTGTCAATATTTGGCCACCACATACGCGATCTTGCCTCTGACTTTGTTTTAACTACACCAAAGTGTGATCTATGTAGTTCGTCTAAAAGTTTCTGTCGCAAGCTTGTAGGAATTACTACTTTATATCCGCGTAATATACATCCATTTTCAAATGAGAGTTCATTTCTACACAAAAAGAAAGGCTTTAAACTGGGGTCTAATACCTTACGAGGCCATCCTTCATTGATCATTTTAATTACTTTTTGTAAAACCACATCCTGCTTAGTTTCGTTTCTAATATCATTAACAGTAATGGGCGGTAAAACAACTTCACCGATAAAATCTATATATAAGGAATGATCAATACTGACAGATTCATCTGGTTTATCTGTAACCGTAGCACGCGACAAAAAATCAGCAATATTATCATCGCTCTTAACATATTCAATATTAAAATTATACGCCGACAAAAATAGAGCATATCTTTGTAATCTGTTTGCTGCTAAAATTGGAACACCTTTTTTATTTCCAAGAATAGCTACAAGAGGTTTATGGTCCGTACGTAAAACAAACGGCTCCGAACGCCCGTATAAATAATGGTTAAATTTTTTTACTGCAAATACAATTGAAGTGGCTTCTTTCTGAATTTGAGCATAATTAATCTCAGCTTTAGTCAAAGAACGTGAAGCATATGCTATAACTCGCTCACAACCATTTGATTGACATTGTGATAGCACTGCTCCTAAGCCAGTGGGACTTGCGTCACAAGTCACTATGGTGGTGGATTTAGGATTATAATGAGCTAACACGCGTTCTGAGGCTAATTCATATTTAATTTTATTAAACGCTTCATTTTGATCTTTACCCCAAACCCATCGTACACCTTTCTTTAGCAGTGAATTAAGAGGGTATAGCACAGAAGAAGTATTTGGCACAAAACATCGATAGTAATTGACTAAACCTAAAAACGAGTTTAGCTCACTTACATTTTTTGGAGCCTCACATTTTAATATAGCCTCGACTTTAGTTTTTGACTTGTGCAACCCATCTTTATCTATAATATAACCAAGGTACTCTATTGAACTCTTGAAAAATTCACATTTCTCTGGTTTTAATCTTAAACCTGCTTCTTGCAATCGATCTAAAACCAATTCTAATCGTTGTAAATGAGCCTCTTTCGTTGCAGCTGTAATTAAAATATCATCTAAATAAATACAAACGCCATCAATATCACCCAATAACTGTTCCATTGTACGTTGAAAAATAAATGGGGCGTTTGCCAAACCAAAAACTAGTCTATTATAACAATACAAACCCCTGTGGGTATTAATACAAGTATACCTTTTTGATTCATCTAACTCAAGTTGTAAGTAAGCTCTTGAGAGGTCTAACTTACTAAACTCTAAGCCTCCGTGAAGTTTAGCGAATAAATCTTCAATACTTGGTATTGTAAAATTATCTAAATATATGACTTTATTTAATGTGACTGAAAAATCACCGCAAATTCTAACATTGCCATCCGGCCGTAATACCGGAACAATAGGGGTAGCTATATCCGAATGGTCTACTTTCTCAATAATACCTAATTCAAGTAAATTATCTAATTCCTTTTCTAAATAACAAAGCATATTTCCCATTAAATAAATTATTTTCAATGCTATTTATATCCTTCTTTTTGCAGTCATGATTACAAAGATGTAGATCGAATAATCTCATGAAATCACGACCTAAAAGAGGCAAGCGCTTTTCATTAGACGTTAAAACATAAAACTTTAGTGGATTAGTACGGCCTTCATATGTTACTTCAGGCAACACTACAAATCCTATTGGGGATATTTTCATTCCCGTATAAAAATTAAAAATTTCATTACACATTTGCAAACGATAACTATTGTTATGACTATTTTTAAATAATTCATTATATATTGCGGTTGGTAAAATAGAGACAGAACTACCGCAATCAATTTCACACAATACTTTTAAGTTGCTTACCCATATATAACATGTAATTGGTTCATCTTTTATACATTTCTGTAAATTAAATAAATTAAAATTATTAACACCATCTCCATCGTCATTAGTACCTAAAAAGTTATTTCTATTGATTTTTATTTGACACATTTTCTTTAAATGTCCTTTCTTATTACAATTCTGACATGTGTAATTTATGAATCTGCAATTTTCTTTTAAATGATTTTTATAACCACACACATCACATTGCCGTTGGGTAGCAGTACTATTATCACTGTTTCTCGCTTGCCGACGTTGCAAAGCGAAAACTGGCTGACTTTGCATCATAGATTGATCTCGATCATGATGTTGGGTAGACTGTATTGCTTGTCGTGCGCATCGTACGCTTTGGGCTAGCTCTAATGCCTTATCAAAAGTTAACAGTTCTATGCTTTCAGCAAATAATTTTTCTTTCTCTTTTATATTTTCCAATCCTAATACAAATCTGTCACGTAAAGCATTTTCCAATTCTAGTTTGAAACCACAGAATTGCGACAATCTACGTACCCGTGCTGCCCACTCTACTAAATCCTCACCTGGATGTTGTTCCGCCTTATAAAACGTGTATCGTTCGGCAAAGGTACATTTCTTTGCAGAAAAATGATTATTTAATTTTTTTATTAGTTGCTTGAATGGAATTATATCCAAATCGTCCGGAAAAACTAAATCTTTTACGATGCGGTAGGTATTCTCAGCTAGAGATGTCAGCAAAATGGCCCGTCGTCTCACACCAGTTTTGTCAGTCTCATCATGTACATTATTTGCTACACAATATTGTATGAATCGACTTTTAAAAATGCTCCAATCTTGTATATGATGGTCAAAAAAAACATTACCACCAAACGTTGAACCGATATTACATTCTGCCATTATTTATTCTTTGTTTAGTCACCAAATTATGCTAAACACAATAAATCAATCCTCGTGAATTCGATAATCCTCGTCGCCAATGAAATATTTGGATAATTTTAGTAAAAATCCATTTGCTTTCAAATCCCTTTTTATTTCTAAATCAATATTGACAACTATCAAAATATTGAAGTGTTCTATATTCGAACACATATATTACAGATAAGCACTCATAAATATATTTTACAGCATTTAATTATTATTGAAAGCAAAAAGTATTTAATAAAAAATATAAACATAATATATAAACAACAAGCTTATAAAATATGTGGGAACAAAGTACCGCTACGGTCTCCTGGATGATGATAAAGACGTTCATGAAGAAGATGATGATGATAATGAAGATCATAATAATAAAGGTGCAAACCTATATAATACCCTCAATTTTAATTTAATTTAATTTTAATGTTTTATATATATATATATATATATATTTTTATGTGCTATTGCACATCTCTTTATCTATACATATAATAAAATTGTAACTAAGCCGAATCTGTACATTAAATATTTTTTGTAAAATCTTATTGAAATAGACATTATTATCGATATAGAGGCCGAATTTATAGTTTCTAGAATTTTTATCTGTCTGTCTGTCTGTTACCGCATCACGGAAAAAGCACTGGAGGGATTTTCATGAAATATATGTGATAGCTGGTATGATACGGAATGTATGGTGATAGCTGGTTATCCAGGTCAACATATAAAATATTTTTTTTAAATATCTCATTTCTGAGAAAAAATACAAAAACTGCACTGCAAAAACCTAAGAATTTGGTTTTTGGTAATCTGAACACGGGCAGAGCCATGGGCAATGCTAGTTAAGAATATATAAACATGTTGAACACGACCAAGTATCGCTAGTCTGATGGATGATAATGAAAATGATAATATAAGTATAAGCCTATAAAACATATGAAAGTAAACAAGAAGACCGCCGTAGTATCCTGGATGATGATGAAAAAGAAGATGATGATATCGGAAGTACAAACCTATAAAACAAATGGAACTTAACAGAGCACAGCCATATTCTCCTGGATAGTAATGTAAATGATAATGATGATGAAAGTACAAAACTATAAAACATGCAACTCAACGGAGCACCGTCAGTCTCTTTGATGATGATGAAGTACGAACCTATAAAACATGTGGAATTCAACAGAGCACCGCCATAGCCTCTTAGCGTCACTGGCAGTTCCCAGCCGGAAGCCGACGCGCGCCTCCCCCTGCTCGCTTGCGAGGCTCTCGGTGGGCCGCAGCCGCACCCAATAGGCCCGCGCCCGGTAGCTCAGCTTGGACACCATGGCCCAGGGGAACCGGCTCATTATTATTCTGGAGTTACAATATAAATAAATAAATATGTTGGGACATCAACACAGCACCATCTAGTTCCATGGTAAGCTACGAAGCCTGTGTTATGGATACCAGGTAGTCGATACACTACACATATATAACTTTAAATACATATATATTATAAATATAAACACCCATGACTGAAGTACAAACATTGGTGCTCATCACATAAATGAATGCCCCCAGCGGGACTCGAACCCGCGACCGCTGGCACAGAATGTAGGGTCACAAACTGAGCCAAACGTGTCGTCATATTTTTTTTTTGGATTAATGCAAATGAGATGAGATATGCCTAGTTCAATTATGAACTGGGTTTAATAAAATATGAATATTCAACCCAATCATTTGGATCATTTTCTTGCGAGTTAATAAAAGTTAATTACTCGTATGTTGAATATTATTTGTTTTTAAATTTTAATCTGGTTCATAGCGTAAAGCCTTTGTACGTAGGTAAATGTATTATATATACTTATGATGATTTCCTTCATCGTAAGGCTGTATTGAAAGAGTCATAATAAAAATGATTCAAACATGAAAATATTTCTGATACAATAGCCCAGATTGAACCTGTGGCACTAAGTTTTCTAAGCAAGTGCGTTACCATTGGGCTATCACTGCTGTGTGCGAAATTATAATGATTTCTTGAATTCACACGAAATATTTGACATTTTTACTCGTATTAAATAAAACTATTTTTTTTTTGCGGTTGTGTTTATATGTTTGTATATTGTTTCCGACACGACGTCACAAATGATAGTCTGAGTTCTCACCCATCCCTCAGTATAGCGATGCCACCAGAGCATACCGCGAGGATGATCTCCGCATCATCAGAGTCCCTCACACTGTGCAGCTCAGCGCCATACAGCGCCAGCTTCTTGGCGTTCTCCAGGTAGTTTAGTTCTGCTTCTGCTGGGGTTTGGCCTCTGGGGAAATGATAGAATAGAGATTTTGTAGATACATTTTAAAGCCTAAAAATATATCTGCACTTAGACTTTCTACATATATTTAGTATAAAACATACGGGGATGATGAGTTGTCATTTCAACAATATTTAGAAAATTTCTATTCGTCTCCTATTAAAGAATAACATTCTGTCTAATACCTATTCTAGATCGAGCAATACAAAAAAAATATACAAAAATACTCTTTGTCGACGTCAGATTTCCTATCGTCGACCTTATTGCCTTTATCATAAGGCGTTTATTATTTATTATATCAAGTCATACACTCAACCAATGAACGTACTCAAATGCAACTTCGTCACTCACTACGTCAACACACATCATCTAACGTTCTATTACAACCCACATTCTAATTCCACTCCTTGCAACGCGACACTAGCAATACAGAAGAAAAACTATTGTAATTCTGTTAAGACAGACCAAATATAAATCTTTGAGAAGATATCCAATCTTTCTTTTGTTCATCGCGAACACTCTTACTTGTGTTTCCTGTATAACTCGTCCACTTTATCCTCGAAGTCCGGTGTGATCACTTGCAAGGGAACCGCGTTGTGTGTCGAGAGGATGGTAGTCGGGACTTTCCCCTCTCTGTCCCCGAGCTCTGCTTGTAGCACGTAAGATGCGAGCAATGCATATGTTATTGTTGAACATTTTAAACGACCTGGAATAGTATTTTGATAATTTAAATCTAAAATTGATCGAATTTAAAACTGCTGTATTCTACGCAAAAGATTTAGGTCTATTTTTTTGTTTAATTTAATTTTGAAGTTACATCTAAAAATTATTCTGCCTTACGCAGAATATTATAGAAAAAAAGATCTATGTTTATTTTAAACTTGTAGTTCTTAACGAGTCTGTGTGCTTTAAAAAATTCAATCTCGTTTGTGTAAATCGAGCAAAGCCGTGGCTAGTTACTGTTTGTCTCATTAAATTTAGTATATATAAATAAATTCTTGGTCGGTCTAATTCCTGTTGTGTGAAACCTGTTACAAAAAGTTATTGAGAAAACCAATACCTTCAATCAGATCTCTTCGTATCGCAAGACCTACTTGGTATCTGGTAACTTCGTCGTGTAATTCGGAAGGCTCCGGTGGGTAGAATTTAACTGCAAATCTGACATCCCAAGGCTCATCTGTAATTTTATTTTACAATGAGTTTACCACTCATAAACTATATTTTCGAATTTTTTGAGGTTTTATTTTCAACTGTTAAGCAATCGGAAACGGAAGCAAAAAAATAACACAGCTAAAAAAACGCGAAAACATCCAAAAACTAGTTTTATTTAAAATCTCAAATATTTACGTACATCTAAAAAAGTATTTATTATACAACAAAATTTCTGACAAACTTTTTTGCATCTTGAACCCTTACTTCTAAATGATTTAGTCAGCCGTCTCTTCAAGTCGACCCACTGGCGAGAGTCGCGCTGAGTGTGCAACAGCCCGAAGTAATCCTTCTCTAAGATGTCCAGAGCATCGCACACACTGTCCAACAGATCAGCACCGGTGGACTTTCTCTGTAATTATAAGTAATGTTGAAAGTGAGAATCGAAATCTAAAACTAATAAATAAAATTCTAAGAGTAGAATATAGGGATATTGATTCATGTTAGCACTTTTGAAGCGCAATATAGACTTTTGCTTTTTTTCAGTCGGAATGCTCACTAATCTCGAGAACAATACAACCAATTTTAGATGATTTTAATGGTGGATCGGAATCAGCAAAAGGAATGGTGCTAACTGCTACTTTCTGCTTTCTTCTGGGAGCGAAGGAAAGAAAAAAAAGAGGGGCGGAAGTTAGAGTGTAGAGAGTAGAGGGGCGGAGCAAAAATATCTTAAATGAGTCCACCAATTTAAAAGTTTTTGGGTAAAAATATATATAATTGGACTTGGCGCATCGAAACTCGTGATTATTATGAGACCCTCGAGTACTAAATACTACAAAACAATACTTTCACATACAGTCATACTATTAAGAATCTTATCGTTTTTTACTATTTGTATCAGTGGAAGCTTAGAAAGTGCAAATTTTATTATAACTTTGATAAGTTATAATAAAATTTTGCACTTTAATTTTATCTTAAATAATTAAGTTTAACTTAAATAATTTCATAAGAAAAACCAAAATATTATTGCTATAACATTAAATCGGTACCTTTAATGTGAAATCGGTGTCTTTAAAAATAATAATAATACATAAGTGAATATCACAGAGAAACATACATAATTTATAACGTTCAGTCTAGTGGCTAAATGGGCTGTGTAAGTTAATAAGGGGTTTTCTCCAACTCAATGGCTCGAATCGAGCACAAGCGTGTTCTATCTTCGATCTGTACTTTGTAGAGTCATAAGATTTCAAGTATCTTTAATGGTTGAATTAACTTAATAATATAAAGAAATTCTTTATTTTATTTATTAAACTAGCATTGCCTGCGGCTCCGCCCGCGTTTAGATGACCAAAAACCAAATTCTTAGGCTTTACATATTAGTATATTCTTACAATTCAGTTTTTATATTTTTTCTCAGAAATGAGATATTTTCCCGCGGTAAAAAGTATCCTATATGTTGACCCGGATAACGAGCTTTCATCATACCAAATTTCATCAAAATCTGTCCAGTGGTTTTCTCGTGATGCGGTAACAGACAGACAGACAAAAATTCTAAAAACTATAGATTCGGACTCTGGGTTGATAATATTTCAATTAGATTTTCCAAAAAATATTTAATGTACAGATTCGCGAGTTAGAATTTTATTATATGTATAGATAATAAATAACTAGCGTAAGGTAGCCAGGCGTTATCTTGACAAAAGAAATATGAAATTAAAAACTACTGGAGGCTGAAATTTTGGGATATACATAACATGTTTACTGTGTAATCCAAAAAAAGTAAAATAAATATAATTTGGATAGAAATAAAAAAAAATGGATCTAAAACATAGTGCCACCTACCGGGTCCAATTATGGCTAAGCCTATTCACCCCTTATGTATAGTACAAATATAGGACAAGTGCGCGTGTGTGAGTCACAATTTACCTACATACTTACTTACATCTATCTAAATTTTTAAAGAGTCGTTTTCGTCGAGTTAAAAAATATATATTTGTTTTTTGTTTGTTTATACGAGCTAACCTTTGTGGTCCCAATCACAGTTTTTGTATTTTATAGCCTATTTATTACCTCGTGGCCATCGTATAGTGGCTAGCATGTACGTCTGCTGATATGGAGATCCTGGGTTCGAGTCAAATGTTCTGTAACAGCCCGGAGTTGGGAAGTTGGCGGTGGGTCCGTGTCTCGTGTCGAATATCGAATATGCGTGTTGGTCTAAGATCCGAACCTAAATCGACCTTCACCGGGCTGATAATAGAATGAGACCTATTTTATAATAAATTTAGCAGCAGTAGTAAGAAAATACATTAAAAATGGGTTTTCTGAAAAAATCCTGGACAGAATATTTTTAATTATTTTTAAAAAACTGATTTTTCATTAAATTTTGCAATATTAAGATGATAAGAAAATTTTACACTAGACTTGAACGGATTGGACTGCCGAAAATTCAAATAATAAAATAACAAAAAAGATAGACTAAGAAGGAACTTGTATTATATTTGAAAATTTTATTACAGAATAGCAAAAGTATAAAAGTTATAAAATAGGTCTCATATTTCTATTATCAGCCCGGTGAAGGTCGATTTAGGTTCTGATCTTCTACTATGTTTTTTTTTTAATTTTTTATACAATAGCAAACATGGTTATATAATCGTAAAAAATATATATCCAGCTCCAAAAAACTAACATTTACCTAGAATTTTTTGTTAATTATCATACCGTTACGGATACTTTAATCGCCCGCCATTTCCCGCGCTTGGCGTGACGTCACAGTACGAGTATAATATACACAGAGAAATGACTCCACTTGTATGCGACAAAATCGCTAATCGCTCTATTATGATAATACTTTGACGTCATATACGGTCTTACCAATGGCGTGCGTATCAACTACTTTGAGTTTACCACTTATTTTTGCACTTTTTAATAATTATTTTCTTAATAAAAAAGAAATTACATTAAAAAATATATTAAATCAAAAGCAACAAAGATTATAAAAAAATTATGTCACCTTTATTTAAACAATATTTAAATCACACGCATAATCCCTATTGTCGTTATACCGTCATACTCGTGCCCTACATTTCTTGCGCAGATGGCTAGTTTCAGTGAGTTAAGCTGCCATGACCGGAATCGATCAAAAGAATATTATTATTGTTATATTTAGTTATATTTAGATATACGCACTTCAACATCCAGCGTTATATGTTCCCCAGTCAGCAGTTCCACTCGCACTCGTCCAGTACTGAGTCGTGAAACCATGCCGTCGTCTGACGCAAGTCGCCGGAGGCTCTCGCGCATTATGCTACCTGAAAAAGAAAATACTATATCATTAACGTTGTAACAAAATATAATTTTGTAATCTATACGAATATTATAATTATAATAATATTATAAAGAGGTAAAGTTTGTGAATTGTGAATATGTGACGTTGTAGGGGGTATTCTCTGGATCTACTGAATGATTTAGATGAAATTTGGTAAGATAGTTTGAGACCCTGAAAATGACATAGGATACTTTTTAGCCCAGAAATCATCCCTTAAGGGAGAGAAAATGGGGATGAAAGTTTATATGGGGAACCAACCTAGTTATTAAATAAGTACATGTTTAAATATAGTTTTTTATATAGTTCGGCTTCTACAATGGCATAACCAGTAATCAAGCCTTTGTGTCTAGGGCTCCAGCAAGGCTTTCACCCAGTATCCAATCCAAACCTAAGAGAGCCTCTTGAAATGATATTGGAAGTTTCAATATTCAGTAAATTATCAAATTATTACTCTAAAAATCTTATAAAGGTTGAAATACACCGTTCAAACAGCTACTTTTACACACAGTTAAAAATTAAGTTAAGCACCGAAATATTTCGCGGTTTATATGTATGTCACCTTCACGCTTGGAACTCTGCAGACAGCTTTAGGCCGAGTGGATGAGACGATCAATAAATACTGGGGATAGTGCAGTAGTTAATTATTTTTAAGTATAATTTACAATTTTAAGAATCTGTTATGTATAAGGCGGTATACATCTAATAATAATAATAATAATAAATGTTGGGACACTAAGACACAGCACCATCTAGTTCCATGGTAAGCTACGAGGCTTGTGTCATGGATACCAGATAGTTATATCATACATATTATAAATATAAACACCCATGACTGAAGTACAAACATTCGTGCTCATCACACAAATGAATGCCCCCAGCGGGACTCGAACCCGCGACCGCTGGCATAACAAGTAGGGTTACTACAAACTGAGCCAAACGTGTCGTCAATCTAATACTATTGAAAGGGACTTATTTAACATGTACCGTCTATTTCTTATACCTTTTGTAATTATTATATTACCATCCGCGCTCCTCTTTATATTTTACGAGTATATATACGATATACATATATCTAATAGCAAAAACGAAATTTAAATAAAAATAATACTTAAAAATATATGCAAAACAAATTTAATTATTTATTACTGTACAAGTCATGTCTGTGTGGAATCTTAGCAAAAATGTTATTTGATATATTCCTCCGTTGAATTGCAATGGTTGAATATATGAATATAATGAATGGACGAAATGAATATAATGAATATTTAATTAAATAGGTATGTTGTAATAATTAATTAAAAAAAAAATTATTAATATGTATTAGTTTTTATCCAGTAATATAAAAAAACGACGATGTTATTTCGGAATTTATGTAGTCGAATTATTAATTACTAGATGAACCCGCGGCTTCGCTCGCGCTAAAATTACAAAAAAAAGTTCTAAAAAGGTAGGTTTTTTACAAATTTTTATCCCATATTTTACCCGCTTATAGGATAAATTGTAAAAATACTAAAACACGTATTTATTTAATTGTATTGAAAAGCATTAATACCAAGGTTCAAGTAAAGTTTTTTGGATTGTATTATAACGTGTTTTCCCGTGGGATAGAGATAATCTCCCGCGGTAAAAAGTAGCCTATGTCACTCTATAGCCCTCCAACTATCTCCACATAAAAAATCATGCCAAACCGTCACTCCGTTTCAAAGTGTAAGAGAGACAAACAAACACACTTTCACATTTATAATATTAGTATGGATTTCCATAATATGTACATATCTACCCGCGACTTACTCTCGCTTCGCTCGGGTGCGTCCCGAGGTACGTTTTAAATAAATAAAATAATACAAACTTTTAAAAAATAAAATAAAAACCGACTTCCAGCCGACAATATTTTAAGATATGAATATATACACCTTCAAACTACACGGCTGGCACCGACTTCGAAAATATCTGATTAGGTATCTAACGCCCTGTCCGCACTGCGATATTTCACCGCACGTTTTTATTCTCGCAATTCTGTAACACATTGAATCTTAAGTATTCTAAATGAAAACCCTCCGTTTATTTATTTTTACATTTTAGTGCCTGGAAATCGGTTTTTATTTATTTATTTTTTTAAGTTTTATTTTTCCATTTTTAGAGAAAGTTTTTTAATAACATATTCGATGAAACAATTTATTTAAAAAAAATATGGTTGATTTTTTAAAAAACCGCTCCACCGATTTCGATAAAATTAATATGGGACCACCTGGGAAGTATACCCTTCGAAACAAAAAAAAATCCAAATCGGTTCAGACTTCTTCGAGTAATCGGTGAGCATACATAATAAAAAGATTCCGACGAATTGAGAACCTCCTCCTTTTTTGAAGTCGGTTAAAAATTATTATTGCGAATGTATATATAATATAGTTTTCTGTAGACCTTTTCAAGACCTAAAATTTCCTTGTATATTGTTTTGACGTATCTTATAAGGTTTAGCCAGCGTTAAACATGACGTTTTCTAAGAATAATTCGACTGAACCAGTTATTGTGTTTTACGTGGGAATGAAAGATTTTCCTGTAGTAAAAGGTATCCTAAATGTTGACCCGAGTAATAAGTTATTTAATTAATTAATTAATTAATTTAATCATTTATTTCAGGCAATATTTACAAAAGGATCTTAAATATGTAAACAGAGGCCCATAACATATACTTATACCTTAAATATTTAAAATCGGTTCAGTATTTCTAGCGTGAAGTGCACACAGATATACAGATAGAAGAATTTCAATAACTTTTGGGGTCTATATTCTGTACATAACACGTTACAGTCATTATCTTTAAAAAATATTTCCTGTACAGATTTCGCTTTGTTACTATTTTATTATATGTATAGACTGGCATTGCCCGCGGCTCCGCCCGCGTTCTGGTGACCAAAAACCAAATTCTTAGGTTTTACATATTAGTATAACTCTTACAATACAGTTTTTGTATTTTTTCTCAGAAATGAAATATTTTCCCGCGATAAAAAGTATCCTTTATGTTGACCCGGATAACCAGCTACCATCATACCGAATTCATCAAAATCCGTCCAGTGGTTTTTCCGTGATGCGAAAACAGACAGACAGACAGACAGGCAGACAGAGAGACAAAAATTCTAAAAACTATAGTTTCGGCCTCTGTATCGATAATAATGTTTATTTCAATAAGATTTTCCAAAAAATATTTAATGTACAGTATACAGTACAGTGTATTCGGCTTAGTTACAATTTTATTATATGTATAGATAATATAGATACTAGAATTAGAATTTAGTACCCACAACACAATAGAAAATATAAATAAGAAACGCAACAAAAAGATATTTCGTAGTTTTTTCCGTAAACTTAACGGATATTATGGAATATCGACCTCAGCTCTCTTCATAGCTATTGAGCAGGAGTTACGCATCGTTGGGCGTTAGGCACGCTTGGGTAGCCTTAACTTTAGGGAACATGAGATTGTTTTTTGCTATAGACTAAACTGCAGATATAATAGATGCTTAGAACTTTCTAGCAATAATAAAGTATTTTTTTAAGATTTATTCAGTCCCGTGACCATGATTGCTGCTAAGCATTCGAAACGTCGGGAACCAAAAGGCTAAAAGCAAAATAATACCACGAAGAAATCCGAATATATAGTATTATTTTGAAACGCAAAAGTGTGTGTTTCTTTGCCTGTCTATCTTCTTCTTTTAGGCAAGCAATGACAGAACAGATCGACGTGATTGTTAAAAATATAGACATTTTTTAAGAAGTTAGTTAAAGAAAAAATTTAAATCTTTATGATTTTAAATTACAATCGAATGTTACATTAGTTGCGGTTTCTTCATGTAAGCTATATTACTTGACCAATACTAAGGTCCATGAAATTAGAGACATGTTCATATCTAGGTTGCTGGCAAGTGTGTTACGGATCAACAGCTTTTGTGGGCGAAACATATATTATAAATTATGCCTTTACCGCGGCTTCACTTGATTTTAGGTATAGACTTCAATATTGAATAGTTGTCTAGTCATTTAGTGGGTAGCTTACATGATTGGAGCATCATGAGAACATCATTAGGTTCTGGGTTCAAACCCTAAGATCAGGTCCGAGATCCCAGGAGCCCCGGCCTTTTTTTAAACGTTGGGAAAAATGCATTTTGGCATATCAGGCCTTCAGACCTATGTCATTTTAGAAATGCTAAAATTTTATAGTCTAATATTAGGGTTTGGGTGCCGGGAAGTCTTGTGTCTCGAAGCTCCCGGGACTTTTTATAAATTTTGTTATCTCGGGTCCCAAGACTTTCAGGTCGAGACTCGAGACACTTTTTTATTACGAATTTGAATAAAAATGCACTTATTGCGTTTGCAGAAGAGATGTATTTCAGACTTTTTGAAAATATCCCTCGTATCCAAATGCCAGAATTGGAAATAATAGTACCAGAGTTCAACTACTACACAATGAGCCCGACGAATCGTTTCAAAGTCAAATGGAACAGACAATAAAAAAATCACAGAAAATGTACCTAAATGTAAAATCTAATTCTAGAAAAATCAAGATCAACATTAATAAATGATTTGCAAATGTTTAAAGCATTTTTAATTTTGCTTTATAATTATAATATTTTACTGCCAAAAACTGTATTCATGATTATAAGAATAAAATATACAGATTGTTTAGGCAATAAAAACGATGTTAAAATTTGAAACATACAATCTATACCTATATATAATAATAATCTGAGTCGAATCTGTACATTAAATATTTTTGGGAAATCTTTTTGAAATATTCATTATTATTTTTTTCTATACAGAGACCGAATTTATAGTTTTTAGAATTTTTGGCACCACTGGACAGATTTTGAGTATGATGATAGTTGGTTATCCGGGTCAACATATAAGATACTTTTTAGTACGGGAAAATATCTCATCTCTAATAAATCTATACTAAACCTTAAAACGTAACTAGGGA